TTGGAATCATTTTTGAAATCACAATGAACTGAACATCCCCAACCTCCCAAATGTACAATACCCAAGAAAAGCACAGAACTATTCAGTGGAGATTGTCTGAAGACATGTGGGTGTACTTCATTGAAGTGGTGTGCAGCAATATTAGACTGACAACAAGGCAGCAGAGGCCCTGGCAGCAATTAAGGAAATGGGGCTTATTTCAGATAACATCATACAGATCATCAGGGAGGCCCAGTCTGAAGTTCAGTTGGTATTGAGACACTTTTTTTTTGGACTGTGACTTCTGTGCGCTCCCGCTTGAATGGTTACATGGAGAGTGTTCTGCAATTATGGCAGCACTTCTAGGAAGTTACAATTTGCATGGATGACAAACTGGTCAGAAAAACAGTACCTCCCATTGGCCAGCGAGTAGCTGTGCCGATCTAAAAAGACCATGATTTACAAAGCTAATTGTTTAGAGAAAAACATGATAATCTTTTCACATTTAAACTGCTCTCTACAGACGAACAGCAAACTAACATTCTTCACCCAAATTGCAACATACCTGGGAAGTGAGCATAAAACTATTACTTATTTGATAAATATATACCAACCTTCACACTTTCAAGTCTAATCTGGTATCCGACGCTACCTCCTAGCCTCTCGATCCGTTCTTTGGCTACTCGCTCAGCTACAGAAATAGCAGAAATTCTTCGAGGTTGAGTACATATGATGTTGGCAACCATTGCAGGAGGACCATTAAGAGAGTCATCCAGGATAATTTGAGGAATCTGAGTTGTCTTTCCACACCTGAGGAAATTTGAAATTAAAATGACTTATTTCCACATCTGTCAAACTTTCCAAGGCTGTGGTAATGCAAATAAATAGCTTCCCCTATATTTGAACAGGATAAAGGGTGAAGAGACTGCATATTTGTGGAAAATTAACCATCCAACAAAAAGGATAAAAACATATTTTGACTTCTGAACAATTCATTAATACATTAATACTTTAAACAGCTAATATGTCATCACACAAAGAAAGATGGTTGTGGTTACTGGAGGTCAGTCATTTCAGTTCCAGGACATCAGCTTCAACTCAGCAGAGAAAGGGAGGCAGCAGCAAGACAAATTGAGAGTGGTCTCCTAGTTTAACAGCTGCAGCTTCAGGGTTTGGTGGTCAGGAAAACAAATCAAACTGTGGCTTCACAGAGAAGTGGTGAGTTAATAGGTTTGCGATTTTAAAATGTATATTTTTTCTGAAGAAGGGATTAACTGAGAAACAACAAGAATAAGTGCATGTCAGGACCAATATAATGAAGTAATTTCATTAATATAAGTAGGGTATAGGAAGTAAAATTACCATAAGGGAAATATGTGTACAGCATTATATATGCAAAATTAATATTTTAAGAAAGGAGTGTAACTAAAGGGCTTAAGGGAAGTCATGGCAGCAGAGCTTGCACCTGCGATAAGCTTCTTCTGTGCTACGTATCAAATCATGGAAGCTTTAGTTGCTCCGGGTGGCCACATTTGCAGAAAGTGTGTCAGCTATTGGCCAACTGCAATTCGGAGCTGAAGCTTCAGGTGAATTCACTTTGAAGCATCTCAATGCCGAGTATGTTGTATCATAGCATGGTCAGTGAGGTGGTCACACTGCAGGGGAAGAATGAACAGGCAGAAAGGAATGTCCACCATGCAGAGTACAGGAAGGCATGCACTACAGGAGTCTCCTGTGCTCATCCTCCTTTTTAAACAGATGTACAATTTTGGATACCATTGGGAAAGATGACTGCACACGAGAAAGCAACGTGAACCAGCTTCACGGCACGAGTGGGTCTGCTGCACATGAGGGGAGAAATAAGAAAGGCAGGGCTATAGTGACTGGGGTTTCAGTTGTGAGGGGAACAGACAGGTATTTCTGCAGCGGCAAAAAAGACTCCAGGCTGGGATGTTGCTTCCTTGGTGCCAGGGTTAAGGATGTCACTGAACAGCTGCAGGGCATTCTGAAGGGGGAGGGCAAACAGATGGATACTGTAGTACATATTGGTACCAACAACATTGGTAGTAAAAGGGATGATGTCCTTCAAGCAAAATTTAGCAAGCTAGGAAGTAGATTAAAATTAGGACTCAAAAACTAGCAATCTCTGCTTGTGAGTACAGAAATTGGTTAGTCCAGATGAATGTGTGGCTGCAGAGATGGTGTAAGAGGGAGGGCTTTAGATTTCTGGGACATTGAGACTGTTTTTGGGGGCAGTGGGACCAGGTGAACGGGTTGCACTTGAACCAGACTGGGACCAGGATCCTTACAGGGAGGTTTGCTGATGCTGTTTGAATGCATTTAATTTAGCAGGTGGGGTGGGATCCTGAAAGAATGTCCAGCAGGGGGAGTTGCAAAGCCAAAATGAGAAGAGATAACAAGTGAGTAAGGAAGGCAGAGAAATTATAGGGCAGATCAGATACAAGGGAGATTGGCAAGGTTGGATAGTGTTTATTTTAATGCATGGAGTCTGACAAACAAGGTGAGAGCACAAGTTGGGCTATGATGTCATTGCTGTCAATGAAACACGGTTGAGAAGGGGGACAGTATTGGCAGCTCAACATTCCAGAAGAGAGGGTCCTCAGGCCAGACAGCTCACCACCACATTCTCAAAGGCAACTAGGGATGGGCAACAAATGCTGGCCCAACCAGTGACACCCAAATCCCACGAATATATATGAAAAAAAACTCACCCTTAGCTTCAAATACTCCCATTACTTTAACAAAAAAAAAGTTAGTACTGGCAAAGAGAATTAGTGGCAGAAGCTGAAACTCGAAACAAAGTGAATAGAAAATGTTCGTAACCACTAACTGTTATTAAGGGCTTTAAAAATTAATTTATTTGTTCATGGATGTCACTAACAAATTCAGAATTTACTGTCAGTCCCTGAGAAGATGGTAGTGATCAGTCTTCTTGATGTGCTTTAGTCTGTCTGGTAAAGGTGCTCCAACAGTGCTGTTAGGCAAGGGATTCAGCATTTTGATCCACAGAATGGCTATATAGATCCAAGTCAACATGGTGTGTGACTTGCGTGGGACCTTGGAGATAATGGTGTTCCAATGCACCTGTTGGTCTTGTCAATTTAGGTTGAGAGTTTCGGACAGGCTATCTAGGAGGCCTTGGCAAGTTGCTGTCGTGCAACCTAAAGATTGTGCAGTCTGTGGCCAAGGTACACTAGAAGTGGATGGAGTGGATATTCAAGGTGGTGGAAGGCCAAATAATCAGTCTGCTTTGTCCGAGAGTTTTTGCAAACACATCCACCCACGCAAGCTGAACACATTCCATCATATTGTGCAATCTGTGTTCAAGTTTCTCCAGTGGAGCTCAATTTAATGTGCACTTTTTAATGTGGTCAAATTACTACCAAATTTTATTCTGGCATAGGTAATTGACAAATATTACTATTCCTATGATGTCCATACTTGAACCATCAGAAAATGCTGAGCAATTTATGCAAACATAAAAGTAATCAAGCACGCCAACATAGGAACATTCCCATTTCCCCTTCCCTTAAACTTACCCTGTCATACCACTCACTACCAGGACCTGGGCCTTGTTCAGTAAGTTCAAGATTGTCTCTCTCTCACGAAACGCTGGAAGTTTTTTCCTTTCCTGCAACATTGTCTGATATTGTCTGGAAGACTGAAACAGTAATATCTTTCAGGGGATACATCTTAAAGATGATACATAGAACTCACAATGGGTAATATGCCATTTTGCCTAACTGGTTTATGTCAGTGTTTACTCTTCAATTGAGCAAATAATTCTAATCACACTTATCCACCTTATTCTCAAAAACTTTCAACACTTTTTCTTCAACTGGATCTCGAACACTGACATAGTTTCTGCCTCAATCAGTAACCCAAAGTGAATCCCATAGCCTCTCAATTCCCCACCAAGATGATTCTCCAGCTCTATGTTTTAAATTTTCTATTTACATCTACTTACAATGATATCTCCTTGTTCTTGACCCCTAAACTACTTGAAACAATCTTCTTAAATATGGTCCTATTGCTCCAAAATGTGCTGATATTTCATCTAGCATATCCAGTCATAACTAGAGAATCTTTTCTAATGGCTTCTTTGTCCACTTCTGTATCTTAATATTGGGTGTCACATAAAGCCGAGAATAAATCATTTTCTTTGCCCTAGTGCTCCTACTGAGATTTTATCAACGGTTGCTTTTTGTTTTCCAGGGGCAACTTTGTCATTCTCACTAACCCCTTTACTAGGTGATGCAGTCACACAATAACACCTTTTGTTGATGAACAGGCTGTTTGGACACTCACTGAAGCAGAATTGGAAGAATTCATTCATATCCTAATTAATTATCAGCATTCCACTAAATTTAAAGCCACAACAAGCACAGAAAGCATTGATTTCTTGGACACCACAGCAGGTGCAAGTTAGAACGTGTTACTTTCAAAATAACCAGAATATATATAAAGCCTAAACACACCTTCCACATTGGCAAGGTCACAGCCAATGCACTTTGTGAATTTACTATGGAAGTGCACTGACTGTGACCTTTGTGAATAAGCTGGAATGTTTTAACTGAGCATTTACGACTCTTTTTATTGCATCTCAAATCTTTAAAACTAAGATTTAAATTTAACAATTGATAGTGTATATTACAATAGCATCTACTACATTTCTTCCCATGTAGCACCTGAACATATGCAGTCTTAAGCTCAACATACCACATTCACATGCAAGTAATTAATTAGCTCAGTGATTTCAAGTTTTCCCAGATCCAAGTTAGCACAATGATCCTTTGGTGTCAACTGTGCTCTCTTCTTTGCAGCCTCCCTCCTTCCTACTCCCGTTTCTGTCTCCATCTCAGCCAACGTTTGCAACTTTCCCATCTTCTCGCCCTCACCTTACAGCAACCACATTTTCCTCTCCCCACAGCCTTTCCCTTCCTCATCAACATCCTTGGCAGTCACCCCTCCGCCCCCCACTTCTCCACAGTGCAGCCTCCTCGCCTCTCTACTCTCCATAGCACTCTTGAAACTTCCCTGTTTCTACCACCTCTTTGTGGCCTCCCCGTCTCTCCCAAACCTTTTCCTCACCCTCCACCCCTAATTATCCCACAATCCTTGCAGCCTCCCTGCCTCCTCCTTCCCCTGCCCTCTCAGACCAAGCAGGCAGATATCGACCTCATAAATGAGGCAACTCCCTCACCCAGCCTCAGCAGGCTGGTCCTGGCTCTGAAAAGACAGCTGCTAGTTCCTGGACCACCAACACCTCCCTGATGGCAGATGCTTCCCATTGCCTCTCTCTAACAGTCAGCACTACATATCTAACAACTCACCGTTTGTGGGGTGGTAGTGGTGTAGTGGTAAAGTGGTAATATGGCGGTTGTATGCAAAATGTATGCATTAAAAAAAAAGCTTGTTTAACTGTGACCATATAATACCATTGTCGATTATTGCAAAGACGTAGCTGCTTCACTAATGTCCTTTAGCGCAGGAAACCTGTCGTCATTACCTGAGTTGGCCTATCTGTGACTGCAGACCCACAATAATGTGGTTGACTCTTCGGGACAGAAACTAAATGTTGCCTTAACCCACATCCCATGAATGATACAGAGAGAAAAAAAATCCCAGGCTGGTTTTTTCCTGTACTAGTGAGCCTAATAGCAGCAAAGCAAGCTGTTAGAGAACGAGCCTTTGACTGGAGGAGAAGATTCTCATTGTTTGTTTCCATACAACTGACAAGAGCAACTTTTCTGATTTGTTGGCCTACTGACTGAATTTTCCAGGCCATTTGGGGATATTTTGAAGCAGATTTGCTCCCATCTTCATGTATTTTGTGCACTGGCGTCACCCAAAAAAATCTACCTTCGTCCCTTTTCAATCTCCATTGATAAGCTGCCTCTTGCCAATAACATTTGAAAATGAAGCATCAGGCCCCACACATGCACTGATGACACCCAATTGTACCACACCACTGTTGTTCTTGACCCCGCTGTCTCTGGTTTGTTCAACCAATGTTGAATAAGCAGAAATCTCTTCCTATTGTACACTAGAAAGACCAAAGCCATGGAGTCTGCAAAAATCTCCATTCATAGAATCATACAGTACAGAAAAGGCTCTTTGGCCCATTAGGTCAGATTCACTAACAACTGAATCCATCCTTCTCCCTAGCTACTGTCTTCAGTTGAACCTTTGCAATGCTGGTGCCCTATCTAATTAAGTTGTGCTTCCAAATCCCATACAATTCATTCTTTTACATTTGTAATATTACCCATCAATACTACAACTCAGCTTATAGAACAGTGGTTCATGGTATCTTACAGAACATCAGGAGACCATCCAGCCAATCATATATGTGGGCTCTTAGAATAAAGCCAACCAGTTTAGTCCTTCATGCAGCTTTTTCCCTATCATGCTGCAAATTAGTTTTCTTCATACCCAATTGCATTCTGACTGAATCCTAGAAAACTTAATCCTACAGCCCCTTCAGGGCAGTGCATTCAGGATTCTAACAACCCTTTGCGTTAAAAAAAAATTCCATCACTTCACCCAGTAATTTTTTTGGCAATTATTTTAAACTTATGACCTCTGGTTATGGCCCGCTTGTTAGAGGAAATACTTTCTTGCCATTAGTTCTATCAAAATCCCCCAATTCTGAAAGTTTCAATGAGATATCCAATAACTTGTTCTGCTCTAAAGGAGAACAATTCCAGTTTCTGTAATCTCTCCACATAAACGAAATATCTCAAACCTGGTATCATACTGGTAAACAGCCTCTGTGCTCTTTCAGGGTCTTGGACAACCCCTCTCACAAGGATGTCCAGAATTGTACAGAAGATACCAGGTGAGGCCTAACTAAGAGGTTTATAAATATTTAGTATGACTTCCTCATTTTCATACTCCGTTCTATAACTCACTCTAAGATACTCAATGTGCTACTTACAAAGTCAAGAATTTTATGCATTTTCTTAATTACCTTAACATCTTGCCCTATCCATCTTCAAATATTTGTGAATATGCTTCTCCATGTAAAAACAACTCCCTTGAAAATAGCACCATCAGGCTTTACGTCCAAAATGGATCACTTCACATTCTTTCCTTTTAAATGGCACCTGTCACATGTTCAACCATCTCACCAGGTTGTGTTTTCTGGAAGTCTGCTATTATCGTGCTCAATATTTACTACTTTGGCAAGTTTTGCATCATTCACAATCTTTGAAATTCTACTCCCTGAATACGAAGTCCAAGATGATCACGCAAATGTAAGAAACAGTTTGGCCCTGATAGCAAATCTTGAGACAGCCAATCGGGGGGGGAAAAAAAAAAAAATCAATTCACTGCCTTCTATCCCTCAAGTAATTTTGTACCCAAGTTTCCACTGTCTCTTTAACGCGCTGTGCTTCTATTTACTGAATGAGGTACCTTGTCAAATACCTTTTGAAAATCAGTGTTTAGATCTATTACACAATCTTCATCAACTCTCTCTGTTACTTCATCAACAAATTCAATAAAGTTATTCAAACATGATTTAACTTTCATAAATTGATGTTGTTTTAATCCCTTATAGCCCATGTTTCTCCAAGAATTAATTTGTCATCAGTAGCCAAAACCTTCATTTGGACCTCGGTAAACTCTGGCCACAACTTCCTCCTCCAGCTGGCTTCCAAGTTGTACTTTTTGTAAATCTGAAATCCTGCAAAACTTTACCACCTACTGCCTAACATCATACCATTCAGCTATTCAACCCTGTGCTCACATATCTACATTATTCCTTACCTGGCAAGGTCTCAATTTTAAAATTCACACACCTATTTTCAAATCTTTTCACAGCTTCATGCTTCCTGATGTCTATTACCTCCTCCAGTCATTTAATCCTGAAAGATCTTGGGCTTCTTGCACACCCCCATTTCCATCACCTCAACAGTCACCAGCTGCTAGGCCTCAAGCTCTTGGATATCTCCCCAGTCCTCTCTGCCTCTCTATGTTCCCAACTTTAATATGTTACTTAAAACTCTTTGACCAAGTGTCTGGTCACTTATTCTAATGGTGTCAACGCCAAATTTGGAATCAAAATTCTCCTGGGATGTTGGAATATTTTATGTGAAAGTAGTTATATAAATGCAAATTGGTGCTTGAACGTAACATGAACCAATTTCTTTGTGTCTTTAGCTATATTTTCTCATACCATGATATCAGACACTAACTTTGAATTGTAGAGGTAGTCATCGCTATGAAATATTTAATTAAAAAGATCAAATCGTACAAGAGGAAATTCCATCTAACTGGTTGTCTGTGCTTTTACTGAAGGAAGAGTTCTTTTAGCAGAAGAAAAAAATTCACAATATTTATTGCCTAATGCTTATGAGAAAAAGAACAAAATACACCACTATTAATCATCATACACACGTTCTGTGTAAAATAAAACTGGAACATGGATGAAGTTACCTGTTTCGCTTGAAATTGTTTACAAAGTTTTTGGTTTTCCCTATATACATTCCCCAGTTTCCAGTTATACTTCTTCAACTGTTTCTTCTTAAGATACACATAACTCTCTGTTTCCATAACCACAGCCTCAGGCTCTTCTTCCTGTAAGTCATCATCTTCCAATTCTGCTCCAGTATAAGCTTTAACTGCAATTACAAAACATCAAACATGTGTTACAAAAAGCAAAATCTGAACTACAATGAAAACCATACCATGGCCAAGTGCTACCTCTGGTTCAGAGGTCGCACTCCTGGCTCCAAGTCAAAAGGGTTTGGGTTCAAGGCTTAGACTAGAAACTTGAACTGATACGCCCATTTCACCCTTAATGGTGTGCTGCACTGTTGGAGCTGCTGTTTTTCAGATGGGACAATAAACTGCTATCATCACTTCAATCGGTGGGTGTAGAAGATTCTATTACTTTATTCAAAAGAGCCAGGGAAGATCTTGTAGATGTCACTACCAATACTTAGCACTCAACTATTACCACAAGGGCAAATAATTTAGTCAATAATTTAATTGGTATTTCTGGAAACTTTGTGTTTGCAGGTTAGCTGCCATGTTTTGTACATTGCTCATAGGAACAATGCTTCATTGGTTATGAAGTATTTTGGGACATACTGAGGCTAGGAAAGGCACCGTTTCTCAAAATAAATGGGTGGCGGGTAAATTCACCCATTGAAATCACTTGGGAAAATTCAAGCATGAGAGCAACCAATTTGAGAAGAGTCATCTGTCGGTAGAATAGACAGAATTGGTAACAAGCTGATCCTCGAACCACAGATTTTCTCATATGCTGAAGCTATTAGCAGCAAATGTAGGAGAAAAAAACTGCCTGTGATTGGAGTCGCAGTGAGCAATTGGTTATCAGAGCGAGTAAAAAAATAAGTGAGCAAACTAGTCAGCTGGATGGGGGTGTGGGATTGGTTATGGCTGGACCGGAGTGGCAGGAAGGAGGAAATACAGTACCAACTAGGATCCAGGAAAACTTCAACTCACTGAGGTAATGAAACACTCGAAAACAAACAGGGAATTTCCAGTTTCAGGCTGGTTTTTTTCAGCAACAACTATATGGGGAAAAGGGGTATTGTTTAGCTTAGTTGGCCAGATGGCCAGTTTGAGATGCAGAGTGATGCCAACAGTATATGTTCAATTCCTGCACCAGGTAAAGTTAACATGAAGGACTCCACTTCACAACTTTTCCCCTCGCGTGAGGCGTGGTCACCCTTTAGTTAAACCACCACAAATCATTTCTCTCTAATGAGAGTGCAGCCCTGTCATCCTATAGGACTATGGTGACTTTACCTTTTATATGGAGTTTTATTTAAAATTTACTCAAAGGATGCTTATGCTGGCATTTATCATCCATCCTTAATGCCCCACAGGAGGATGTTATTGTAGTGAACATTACATCAATTATAAATTTAAATTTGAGATTGAGAAATAAAATGAATAGTAACTGCCTGGTTAAAATATTCCAGTCTTGTGCATATATGATGGAAGTGGTTAGCTGCAATGTCACCAGTCTACGGAAGGTGCGTTTAGGGCTTTTAGTTTAGAAGTATGCATCAGTTATTGTGAGAAAAAAAGAACTATTCTTGCTAACTTGTGCCTGTTATCTTGTGTCAAATTAAATATGATGTCTAAGAAATTAATGCTTTCTGGTGTATTGTGGCTTTAAACTTATTGGAGGGTCAACACGTTAATGAAGATATTGATGAATTCTGCTTTTGTGCAATTCCAAATACACTTGATACAAATACAGAAGATATTATAACTATGTAACTGAATCACCAAAATAATTACTGAGAATGATAAAGTTAAAAAAAATTCACCCACAGGAAAAGTCTCTTGGAGAGACGCAAACAAAAAAGAAAACTGTCCAATTGTGATACTAAAGCAAAATATAAACAAATTCACTCAGCATCTCCCCACCCTCCAAGACTGAATTTAGGTGCAAGACTGCCTGCTGTACTGTTCCCAAATCTGAAAATCTCAGCACCCTGGAATTTTGCCTCGTGTTTAAAATAAAGTTTCAACTTCCACTGTAGGAAATATACTATTTAGCAAATTAATTTCTTCAGTACTCAAGGAGTTACTCCTTAGCCAACAAGTCATAACTTGCACTTTACTCAGTCTGCAATAAAACTTTTCAGGGTGGACTGGGTACCACAAAATATCTCAAACACCATAGATCACAATAGTACCTGCCAGCTGCTGATCAAGAGGATATTTGCGAGGTGTTTGTTCACCATTAGTTTGTTCAGTCAAGAGAGACAGGGGAACAGGAGGCACACTGTATTTATGGGAGGTTTCAAGAAGCAGTTCATTCATTTTCGCTTCATTTTCCAAACACATGATTAAAGTGTGAACCACTGGTTCATGAGTTTTTGCAGCTAACAAGGCCTCTCCGTAGAGATGTTCAGTTATATGCAAACGGCAAGCTTGAGGCAGGCAGTCATTAGTAGTAGAGAAAGCTAAAAGTGGGGCCTCGTATGGATATTTATTATTAGGCGGAAATCGGATCTCAAGCGTGTACAAAAGAGCATTGCTGTCACAACGCAAATGATTATCCTCCTTCTTTTCTCCCTTTGAAGGAAGCTCATGTCTGAACTTACATCTTGACCCAAAACGGCAACCGCCTTTGAGATAATACTGACAAACATCTTTCAGAGTCCTTATTGTCACATCTTCAGTCTCAGACCTTCGAAATTTATTAAGTCCCTGTGTCAGGAACACAAGTGCCAATTCAATAGTCCAGACCCGGTTTTGAATACGTTCAGAGAATTTGCTCTCAAAAATGGAGCTAAGAACGAGAGCTTCTTCTTGCCTCCTCTCCACACAATCCTCCAAGATAATATTACCAGATCTGGGAGAGGCCTTGATTCTATCTTTGAACTTTTCCCTAAAGCACAGTTGCAATAGATATTCCAAAGATGTTCCTGCATCTCCATCAAACATCTTGAGTGCTGATTTGCAATATTCTGCATGAAAACCATACCTAAATTAAAAAATAAGCATGTTATTTTTATTGTTCATATTTTATCAAGTATATTCAGTGCAACATAAAATGTCTCTGTAACACAATAGATTACCAAAAACTTTTGCAATAGTCATCATTTTCAGTGCAATTAGAAAAACAGTACAAGTTATGTTGTCATGATAAACACTCAGGGAATTTGAGCTAAAACTATTTATTTGAACAGCTGTTAAACTTTGCTGCTAAATAACCCAAATATAAATACAAAAAAGAAACTCAAGATGCTCGAAATCTGAACTAAAACAGTAAATACTCTGCAGGTCAGCCAGCATGTCAATTATGGCTCAACTGACAGTGCTCTCACCTCCAAGTCACAAAATTCTCTGTTCAAGTGCCACACCAGCGTTTGTACAAACATCAAAACTGATGACTCAGCCTACTCCTGATGGAATATTGCACTTCTTTCAGATGAGACATTAAACCAAGGCCTCATCTGCCTACTTGAGTGGGTGCATCTCCATGGTGTACCTTCAATTAAGTTCGGGGGGAGTTTTCCCAGGTGACCTGTTCACTATTTAATCCTTCATAAAATCTCACCAGATTAGCAGATTGCTCTTTGTGAGAGTTTGAGTGCGCAAGTGGCCATCACATTGCTCGAATTTACAATGTAGGCAATCACATCGCAGGAAGGATATAATTGCTCAAGAGTACGTTTACAAGAACATTGCCAGTGCTAGACATTTACAGCTATGAGGAAAGATTAGCTAGGCTAAGTTGCTTTCATTAGTGCAGAGAAGGCTGAGAGATGAGTTAATTGAGTTGTACAGAATAATGCGGGGCCTTGATAGACACAGGCGATCTGTTTCCCCAGCAGAGAGAGCAATTCACAGGAAGCAGAGATTTAAGGTAAATGATGAAAGGAATAGAGGAAACATAAGGAAAACCTTTTCCACCCAGAGGGTCTGGAATCCCCTGCCCAGTTTGTGTGGTTGACGCAGAAATCATCAACTATTTAAAGGGAATCTGGATATGCGTCTGAAATAAGGATTAAAATGGGCAGCTGGTTTATTCAGCTGGCACAGACGTGATAGGCTGAATGGCCTTTATATGTGCTGTAAGCTTTCTATGGTCCTATTTGAACAATGATTACACTTCAAAACTACTTTCTTGGCTGTAAAGTACTATGATCTGTCAAATCATTCTGAAAAGCATGCAATAAATGGAAGACTTTGTCTCCTTTGCATCTGTAAAGGGAGAAACAGCATTCTTTCTCCACAATGTCTGCTAGTTGAGGATATCTTTATTTCTAAGATATTTTAAAGTGCCGAGAATATGTCTGTCTTCAACTGGATCTCTCCCTTTCCTATTCTCCAGCATCAAGTGCCTTTGCCATCCTTAACTGGATCATCAGCTCAGCACGTGGCTATCATAGAATCATAGAACCCCTACAGTGCAGGAGGTGGCCGTTCAGCCCCTCAAGTCCGCACCAACCCTTTAAAGAGCATCACACCCAGACCCGGCCACACCATATCTCATAACCCCACATTTACCATAACTAATCCACCTAACCTGCACATCCTTGGACACTATAGGCAGTTGTAGTATGGCCAATGCACCTAATCTGCACATCGTTGGACTTTCAATTGGCCTTTTCTTTAAAATTTACATCAAATGCACTGCCCTTGTTGGACATTGCATACGATCTGATTATTTGGAAACATGGGTGATTTGGTGGTGGATAACAGCTGAAAAGTACCATGGGTAATTTGGGAGTAGAAATAACACAGTTCAGTTGTGTGCGATAACACTTCTGCGATATATATAAAAAGATAAGAATTGCATCAGTGTCTATTTCTGATGAAGTGTGGGGTTGGAATACAGATATAATTCAGACATTGAGGTCCCAATTCCAGAAAAAAATCTGGTCCACGAACTCCGATTATTTACTCTCCAGAGATGCTGCATAACCTGCTGAATATTTATGGCATTTTCTGTTTTTACTATAAATAAGCTAGAACTATTTGCAGCTTCTACAAACCTTTTAGCAGGTTCAAAACTTTTACCATCTATAAAAACACATTTCCGATACATACTCTTAGCAATAAACAGTAAGATTAGAAAATAGCAAGAAAGGTGTGGGATAAATGTTGTTGATAGGCTCACACTCTCATCATTTTCAATGGCTAAGACACCATTTCTACCTCATACAAAAGGCAAAGCATGTAGAACTCAATTTTATCACTATGTAAATAAGTGGATTTTGAATGAGAGTTAAAGACTTACCCCATATCAGTGCATGCATTACTTATTGTACTCCCCATTTAAAAATAAACGGGATGCATTTTAAAAAGGAGTATAGTGGACAGCATTTTGGGACTTTAGTCAAACAATATGCAAGGCAATGTCTATGAATTGGCCTCCATCCCAAAACATTACTTAGTGGACTGATCAATCTAGTACAACACCTTTAGCAGGAAACAGCAAAACAGGATAAGTTATCAATAAGAATTAGATAAAAGTATAGGTTTGGACTGAGATGTCTGATTAAAGCAGTTACTTTGTTCGAGTTGAACTAAGAATTTTAAATCGGTAATGATGGGACATAAAACGGTGAATAGAAGGGAGACAGATTATGAAGAGAACTGTTCTCTGTTATTAAAGAAACAACAGAGATTTCCGGAGAATAATCTATTACAGTGTCCCTTTGTACTAAAAGCACAAACTTTAGTTGTATCATACAGTCTTGCAAAATCCATATTGTCTATAAAGATGCACAGCAGTACACTACATCTAATGACACAAAGTAACCTAAAATATGAAATAAAGTTAACAACTGAAGTTTAGAAGTCTTAAAACAGAGGCAGCTGAGAAGGATTCCCATCATTTATTTATAACCAGTGTTGTATATGAGTTACTTTTCACACCAGCTGACTTTAATGACCATGCATGTCCTCTAGGAATACAAGCAAAATGAAATTGCGCGATGTTTGTCAAAAACCTTGAACTCTCTTTCATTTCTCCTCAGATATAGGTGTGAAGGGTAGAGGACTGCAAATATCACACACACTGTAAAAACAGGAAAGGGTTAACCTGCATCTGGATGCCAGTCAGTTTTGACAGAAAATAGTATGGGATGAAACTAATTTATGCTTGGATAAACTTGATCTAATAAAAGGAGTTAGCATGGATTTCATAAGATGATTGTAGAAATAGGAGCATGAGTAAGCCATTCAGGCCAGTGAATTTGCTTTACCACTTAAATGTCTTATTCAAGCAAAAGCTGTTGAACCTAACTGATTGATTAATTAATTAATTAAAGGAACAGTTTCAGCACAGACAAAATTGGCTAAGGGTCAGAAAGCAGAGACTGGTGATGAATGAACATTTTTCAGACTTATTGAAATACAGTCTTTTGGTATTAGGACCACTGCTCTTTTCAATATGCATTTAATAGTATGGAAGGCAGATGACATGAAATTCAAATCTAGTAAAAACAGTGAGGAGGATAGTAATAAATTTCAAGAAGAAATGAATTAAACTTAAAATACCTCATATTCTGAAAAATAGAAATAATACAGCAAACGCTGTAAATACTTAGTAGGTCAAACAATAGCAGCAGGGTTGGAAACAGTTAACCTTTCAGGTCAATAACCTTTCATCAGAACACAAGAAAGTTAGAGATTTAATAGCTTGTAAGCAAAAACAGAACCAGGTTAAAAAGCTGGAGATAAGGTTAAGAACAAATAAAAGGGAAAGGTTTTTTTGAAAGGATGGAAGGCAGGATGGATTAAATGACCAAGGGAATGAAAAGTGAAGTTTTCAAAGTGGATGGTAATTGGACAAATTAAAGACAGAAAACATGGGCTTAGGAGAGGTGAGAATGGTAATTGTAGACCAACTACCTGGAGCTGGTGTCTGATAAACGATAGTAGTTATTATTTAAAGTTGCTGCATTCAATTAATTTTATGTAGCGAATGCAAATCCCCTGAGCCAAAAGGATTGCTTCCTCATTATTTGAATTTGGGATCATTAGTCCACTGCTAGTCTATTACAGGATCATTTCTAGTATTGTTTGTGTCTCCCAATAAGTGCGTAAATGCTTGTGCTGGGGTCCCAGCGGTGGATGTTGGTTGCACAGGTGCCATGGTTTGTCCTGAAGCTGTTTAGCAAGGACCACTTGTGTCATGGGTCATTCAAAGACTGCCACCTGACATATAGTTTATCACGACAAACTGGTTGTTGACTTCCCACATTTCCATTCATAGATCCAAAGGTATCTGCTGGCAAACTCTTCTCCGAAAGATTGTTCCATATGGGCACTGAGATGGAAGGTGAGCAGTGGGTGGCTTGAACATGTCGTTATGCAGTGGTAAATGAAGCACAGCACAGATGACTTCAACAAAGCTTGTGGACTTTTGTCAATCGACACATGTGTTGGCAAAGTGATATTTGCGAGAACAGGAAGCCAATGGAGGGGTGTTGAGTGGGGGTTCCAGTTATGATGTGCATTGAATTCACTCAATTAAATGCAACAATGTTCAGGTGAAAAAGCTGTGAAATCCCCAAGTAAAGGAAGAGGTACTGTTCCTTAACCTTGCATTGAAGTTTACTGGAACAGTATTGAGGGCTGAGAACTGAAAAACAAAGTTAATGAAAATTTCCTGTTTCAGGTAACAGCAGAAAGCTGTCCTACACAATGTTCAATGCACCATTGATGCTACTGAGTGAAGTGGTCCCCGTAGGACTGGGACAAAACGTATTCCACTTAAAGGCAAACATAGCTAGGACTTATCCAGCTTCCCATACCACAAGCTTCTATTTGGAAAAAGTGAGTGAAGTTCAAGGAGAAGATAGTCAATACAAGACAGGACCACTTCAGCCTTCATTCAAAGGAGAAGAAATAACCTGCAGGCATTTCTGGTGGGGAATTGAAGTGGAGCGACTGGACATCATGATGAAGAAACAAATAGTCAAGAAACTCGAAGGGCTTGAAGTGGCAGCAAGTAGCAGAAGAGTCGTATATATAGATTGGAAGAGATTGGACAAAGGGGAATGAAATAGAATGCAGATAGTTAGAAATAAGTTTTATGAGACAAAAATAGCATGACATGATGGATGCCCCAGGGATGTCCAGTTTATGGGTCCAGGGAAACAGATGGGATCAGGTTGTGTAGGATTGGGGTACTATAAGGTTGGAGACCATGGTGGATTATGACCTCCAGAGAACAGTCTGGGAAATAATGGCCTGATGGTCAATGATGCGATAATGTCCCAAGTAACTGGAGATGGTTTTGGCGAATTATGTTCAGCTTCAGCTATCTCCAAGTAACTGCAAAGTAGCAGTCTGCTCACCAATGAGCCCCTTAACTGCCAGTTTGAAGACAATGTAGAACTAGACTCAAGATACAGAGTGATGCAAACTGAAGAGGACAAACAACCTGGTGAAATGAGCAAACAAAATGTGTCTTTTGGTAGGAAGAATGGCTATACGGTACACAATTTTAAATGCGGTGCAGGGACAGAAAGAACTGGAGCTGGTAGGATAAATTGAAAAATGTGTATTTAAAAAAGCATGGATATTCTTAACCTTATAAACAGAGGCCTACAACACAAAAGCAAGGAGGTTATTCAAAACCATTTCAACTCATTGATTAGGCCCCAGCTTGAATGTACTATCTAATTTTGGGCAGAAGATTGGAACTAACCGGACAGCTGTTTTAAATAGTCAACAGAGACATCATGAGCCAAATGGCCTCCTTTTATGCTGCACTGTTCAATGTTTCTACAATGGGTCATTGCCCATAGTGCGTACTGATTAAGCTGAACCCACTAAAGTTTCTAAACCCAGTCTTGTGTACCTCCCAGTCTCATTCCAGCTAAAGGTAACCAAACCATTTTGGTAAGATTTCACAGTCTGAACACAAAGACTCAATCCAACTTGGGAAGGTATTGTGTACTTTTACAGTTGTTTTTCTTTACTGTGTTGCATTTTCCCCTAATTCTTCTCAATCAGAAGAATTGCTAAGCAAGATAAACTTCATAAAGACTACATAAGGGACTGAAATATTAGCAAAATATCTTTGTTCCAAATACATCTCTCAAAAGCATTGAAAGCAAAATCACTGAGGTACTAATCTCTTACATGGAATGTCTATGTTTATGTTCCACATAAGTCTCTTCTCACTAATTTCTTCATTCTACTTGATCAATATTTCCTATTTGTTTCCCCATCATATACCTAAGCTTCTCAGATGTTTCCTGTTAAATGCATCTATGGTGCTTGTTCAACATCTTCAAGCAGCAATGAGTTCCATGTTCACATCAATGATCTGAAGCTTTAAAATGCAACTGACATTCAAACATGGATTTGACAAAAATCTAAACCAACAAACCTTGTCAGCTTCCGAACAGCAAAAGGAGAGATCTCAGATTGCTCAAAACTGGCTTGTTGTTTGACAGGATAGTGCACCAAGGGAACACTTTCAGCAACTGCCAAACCCTCTTCCTTCGTGGACCAGTACTGATCTTCATCTCTGTAATCCAGTTCGTCATACTCTTCCTTCGGATCACATTCCTCTTCAGAATTATCACTTCTACAGAATAGAGGAGAAAAAGTAAAACAGGAAACACATGTTAAGAGAACAAAAAAAAAGTTAAGCTAAGTGCAATCAAACACAAAACGCCACCCAGCATGTGACTGAATGTGACATCAAGGAGGCCTCACAAAACTCAAGCTAATGGGAATCAGTGTCAAATTCTCTGCCATTTGGAGTTGTACCTAGCACAAAAGAAGATGGCCATAAGAACCCATCTCGTTAACTAATGCCCTTTAAGAAAGGAAAACCTGTCATTCTTGTGTGACTTCAGAGTCACAGAGATGTTGATTTTTAAATGCCCTTTGAAATGGCATAGCAAGCCACTCAGTTGTATTTAACTAAGAGCAACTGTCGTCAGCTAAGGTAGTGAAAACAACCAACGGCACACACAGACCTGTCGACCCTGCAAATTTCTCCTTTATAACATCTAGGGGCTTGTGACAAAATTGGGAGAGACAACCCACAGACCAGTCAACTAAATGCCTGACATAGTCATACTCACCAAATCATACCTCACAGACAATGTCCCAATCACCTCCTTCACCAGAGGTGGCAGCTCAGTGGTATCAGTCCAGGTGAAGTTGCTCTGGGAGTCCCCAACATGGACTCCAGACACCATGAAGTCTCATTGTCATCAGGTCAGGCAAAGAAACCTCCTGCTGATTACTATGTATACCAGGCTACAAGCCATGACAAAATTCCGGGAACAGTTCTGAAGACCTGTCCGTCATAACTAACTGCAGCCCCTAACCAAGCAGTTCCAGTAGAAGTACAACCATATGCCGCGTCTACAAAATACCTGAAAAATCCAACAAGGCCAATTTTCACCCAATCAATCTAATCAGAATCATCAGTAAAGTGATATCATTGACAGAGCTATCAAGCAGCATTTACTCAACAATGGCCTGCTCACTGATACTTAGTTTGGGTTTTGCCACGGTCAGTCAGCTCCTAACCTATTACAACCTTGGGCCAAACATGGACAAAAGACCGGAGCTCCAGACAGAAAGTGAGGGCAACTGTGCTTGACATCAAGGCTGTATTTGACTAAGCGTGGCATCAAGCAGCACTAGCAAAACTGGAGTCAATGGAAATAGGATGGAAAATTCTCTGCTGGTTGCAGTCATATCCGACACATAGCAAAATGGTTGTGGTTGTTGGAGGTCAGAGAGTCACAGAATGTGGAAAGATGACAGTCGGCCCATTGAGTCCGCTCCAACCCTCTGAATACCATCCAACCCAGACCCAGACCTCACCCCATTCTCATAACCTTGCATTTACCATGGCTAATTCACCAAGCCTGTACATCCCTGGACACTATGGGCAATTTAGCATGGCCAATCCAACTAAGTTGCATATCTTTGGACTGTGGGAGGAAGCCAGAAAACCCACGGAAACCAACGCAGGCATGAGGAGAACATGCAAACTCCATACACAATCACCCAAGGCCAAAATTGAACCTGGCTCCCTGGTGCTGTGTGGCAGCAGTGCTAACCACTAAATCACCCTGCTGCCAATAAGTCATCTCAGCTCCCTCTGCAGAAATTCCTCATGGTTGTGTCCTAAGCCCACCATTTCAGCTGCTTCATCAGTGACCATTCTGTTCAGCACCATTCGTAACCCCTCAGATACTGAAGCAGTTCCTGCCCAAATGCCATAAGATCTGGACAATATCCAGGATTGGGCTGACAAGCGACAAGTAACATTCGCACCACACAAAAGCCAGACAATGACCTTGTCCAACAACAGACATTCTAACCACCGCCTCTTGATATTCAATGATGTTACCATCACTGAATCCCCCTTTATCAACACCCTAGGGGTTACCATTGACCAGAAGCTCAATTGGCCTCGTCATATGAATAGAGTGGCTACAAGAGCAGGTCAGAGACTAGGAATACTGTGGGGAGGAAATCACAGATGTACAGAAGGATCTTGGGGTTCATCACTCCCTGAAAGTGGCCACGCAAGTAGATAGGGTGGTAAAGAAGGTATACGGCATTCTTCCCTTTATTGTTCGGGGCATCTGAGTACAACAGTCAGGATGTCATGTTGCAGCTTTTTAAGTGTGGCCTAACCAAAGTCTTAGAGTATTGCGTTCAATTCTGGTCACCACGTTACAGGAAGGATGTGGAAGCTTTGGCCAGGGTGCAAAAGAGGTTTACCAGGATGCTGCCTGGATTAGCGGGTATGAACTACAAGGACAGGCTAGAAAAACTCGGGTTGTTTTCTCTTGATCGGCAGAGGCTGAGGGGAGACTTGATAGAAATCTATAAAATTATGAGATGTACAGCTGGGATTGATGGTCAAAATCTTTTTCCCAGAGTTGAAATGTCTAAAACTAGGGGGCATGCATTTCAGGTGAGAGGGGCAAGTTTTTTCACACAGAGAGTGGTAGGAGTCTGGAGCATGCTGCCAAGAGTGGTAGTGGAGGCAGATACGAGAGGGCCGTTTAAGAGACTTTTAGATAAGCATATGAATATGCAAAGAATGGAGGGATATGGACCAATGGCAGGCAGAAGGGATTAGTTTAATTTGGCAACCTGTTCAGCACAACACCATGAGCCAAATGGCCCATTCCTGTGCTGTATTGTTCTGTGTTCTATAGCATGGTTCGCATGTGGAATGAACTTCCTGAGGAAGTGATGAATGTGGGTACAATTGCAATGTTTAAAAGATATTTGGATAAGTACATGAATAGGAAAAAGTTTGGAGGGTTATGAGCCAGGAGTAGGCATGTGGATCTAGTTTAGTTTGGGATTATGTTCAGCATGGACTGGTTGGACCGAAGGGTCTGTTTCTGTGTTGTGTGACTCTATGAACTCGTAGCTCCCCAGAGCCTGACCAAAAGTAAGGAATTTGATGGAATACTTGCCTGGTTGGATGCAGCTCCAACAAATCTCAAGAAGCTTGACATTATCGCAAATGAGTTGACTGAACGGTCTATTTCCATGCTGTATGACTCTATGCCTCTATCATCCATGACAGAGCAGCCCATTTGCTTAGCACCACATCCACAAATATTCACTCCCTCCACCAACACAACAGCATCAGTTTCTATCATCTCCAAGATGCACTGCAGAAGTTCACCAAAGATCCTTCAAATTGTCTTCTAAATTCACAACCACTACCGTCTAGAAGGACAAGGGAATCAGATACATGGAAATACCACCACCTGCAAGCTCCCCTCCAAGCCACTCACTACCCTGACTCGGAAATATATTGCTATTCCTTCACCATTGTTGGGACAAAGTCTTAACAGTATTGTGGGTTTACCTGCAGCACATGGACTGCAGTGGTTCAAGAAGGCACTGTCCTCCATCTTCTGAAGGGGAACTAGAGAGTCATAGGGTCATACAGCATAGAAACAGGCCCTTTGTCCCACCATGTCTATGCCAACCAAAAAACACCTCGAGATGGGCAGCACGGTGGCTCTGTGGTTAGCACTGCTGCCTCACAGCACCAGGGACCCAGGTTCAATTCCAGCCTCGGGCAATTGTCTGTGTGGAATTTGCACGTTCTCCCCGTGTCTGCGTAGGTTTCTTCCGGGTGCTCCGGTTTCCTCCCACGGTCCAAAGATGTGCAGGCTAGGTGGATTGGCCATGCTAAAATTGCCCATAGTGTTCAGGGATGTATAGATTAGGTGGGTTATAGGGATGGGTCTGGGTGGGATGCTTGGAGGGTCGATGTGGACTTGTTGGGCCGAAGGGCCCGTTTCCACACCGTACGGATTCTATGGAAAAAAATGCTGTCACAGCGGGAATGGTCACATCCCACAGGTGAGTAAAGGGAAAAAAGCAGGTCAGACTTTGGGAATTCTGTAGCAAGTAACTCACCTCCTGTAAGCCCAAAGCATGTCCACCTTCAACAATTCAAGAGTGGTATAAGAACATAAGAAATAGGAGCAGGAGTGGGCTAATCAGCTCTTCAAGCCTGCCCCACCATTCATGGCTGATCTCTCCCTGACCCATCTTTCATGACAACTAACCGTAGCTATCAACTCTCCAGGGTAGAGAATTCTACACATTCACTACCATCAGTTTTAAATGAGTCTCCCCGTAACCTGTAAAAAACGAAAGAACTGTGGATGCTGTAAATCAGGAACAAAAGCAAAGTTGCTGGAAAAGCTCAGCAGGTCTGAGGAAGGGTCACCGGACCTGAAACGTTAACTCTGTCTTTTCCTTCACAGATACTGCTAGACCTGCTGAGCTTTTCCAGCAACTTTGTTTTTGTCCCCTTAATCTGTAACTATCCCCCTAATGCAAGACTCCCCCACTGGCAAAACTTTCTTCACAACATCTATCTTGTCAGGCTTCCTCAGAATCTTGTATGTTTCAAAATCATTACTCCTCATTTCTTTTCAACTTCAACAAAGCCACAGCAATACCATGCACAGCTGTAGCAAATTTTCCCCTTAGTCCATTTTCCAATTCACTTTAGATAACTTTTCTTCATACCTCTGTAATTGCCTTTATTTAAGCTGAGGACACTGGTTTGAGGCCCAAGTTGCGCTCTCTAAAATTGAATTTTAGATGGCACTATGTTGTGATTGTTACCCCGTAGAGGATCGTTAACTACATGATATCTTATTAACCCTACCTCATTACACATTACTAGATGTAAAATAGCCTGTTCCCAGTAGGTTCTGCAGGATAGAATATGCACCACTTTCCTGGATGCGTACAGCTTCATTAACACTCAGGAAGCTCAACACCATCCAGGATATGGCTCTACTTGATCAACACCCCATCTAACTCCTTCAATATTCACTCCATCCATATAGACACACAGTACAAACAAAGTGCACTATATATAAAGATGCACTGAAAATATTTACCAAGGCTTCTTTGACAAACCTGCAGCCTCCACCACCTGGAAGAACATGGGGAGGAGATACATGGGAACACTATTAATTACCTGCACTTTCCCCTTGAAGCCACACACCATCCTGACATGGAACTATGTCACTGTTTCTTCACTGTCACAGCGTCAAAATCCTTGAACTCCCTTTCTCACAGTATTATGAGTGGACCCTCACTACATGGACTGTAGCAATTCAAGAAAGCAGTTCACCACCACTTTCTGAAGGACACTTAGGAAAGGGCATGAAATGCTAACCTAGCCAACAGTGCCAACATTCTGTGAAGGAATCCATGAAACAAAATCAACCTGGATGTGTCAATGATCAAGTTCCATGCAAAGTTATACCACAAAAGAAATAGGTCATCTGACCCAAATAGTCTGTGCTCATGTTTCTGTTACACGCCAGCCTCACCCACATCTTTTACAGTCACAGAAACGTTAACCACGGAAACAGACCCTTTGGTCTACCTCATCCATGCCGACCAGATATCCTAAATTAATCTAGTCCCATTTGCTAGCATTTGGCCCATATCCCTCTAAACCCTTCCTATTCATATACCCATTCAGCTGCCTCTTAAAATGTTATAATTGTACCAGCCTCCACCACTTCCTCTGGCAGTTCATTCCATACATGCACCACCCTCTGCGTGAAGAAGTTACCCTTTAGGTCCCTTTTAAATCTTTCCCCTCTCACCTTAAACCTATGCCTTCTAGTTTTGGACTCTCCCACCCTGGGAAAAACACCTAGGCTAGTCACCTTTTCTATGACTGTCATGATTTTATAAACCTCTATAAGGTCACCCCCTAGCCTCCGACGTTCCAGTATGTTGCAGCTTATCCAGCCTCTCTTTATAACTCAAACGCTCCAATCTCGGTAACATCCTTGTAAATCTTTTCTGAACCTTTCAAGTTTAACAACATCTGTCCTGTATAGCAAGGAGACCAGAACTGAACGCAGTACTCCAAAAGTGGCCTAACAAATACAGCTGCAATATGGCCTCCCAACTCCTATACTCAGTGCACTGACCAATGAAGGCAAGCACACCAAACACCTTCTTCACTATCCTGTCTACCTGTGACACCATTTTCAAGGAAATATGAACCTGCACTCCAAAGTCTCTTTGTTCAGCAACACTCCCCAGGGCCCTACCATTAACTGTCTAAGTCCAGCCTGATTTGCCTGACCAAAATGCAGCACCTCACATTTATCTGGATTAAAATCTATCTGCCACTCCTCGCCTTATCGGCCCATCCGATCAAGGTCCCTTTGTACTCTGAGGTAACCTTCTTCACCGTCCACTACACCACTAATTTTGGTGGCATCTCCAACTTACTAACGATACCTCCTATATTCACATCCAATGACAATAACTGACAAAAAACAGTGGACCCAGCATGGATCCTTATGGCACACCACTGGTCACAGGTCTCCAGTCGGAAAAGCAACCCTCCACCACCACTCTCTGTCTCCTACCTTCAAGTCAATTTTGTATCCAAACAGCTAGCTCTCCCTGTGTTCTATGTGATCTAACCTTATTAACTAGTCTACCATGCAGAACCTTGTCGAACGCCTTACTGAAGTCCATATAGATAACGTCCACCATTCTGCCTTAATCAATCCTCTTCATTACTTCTTCAAAAAACTCAATCAAGTTAGTGAGACATGATTTCCCATGCACAAAGCCATGTTGACTATCCCTAATCAGTCCTCATCTTTCCAAATACATATAAATCCTGTCCCTCAGAATCCCCTACAACAGCTTGCCCACCACTGATATCAGGCTCACTGGTCTATAGTTCCCTGGCTTTCCCTTACCACTGTTCTTAAATAATGGCACTATGTTAGCCAAACTCCAGTCTTCCAGCACACCACCCTTTTCATCTAAACCTATCCACATATCCTTCAAGTATCCATTTGGTTTCCCTAAAATGCAAACTTATGTAAGCCTCTGAGAGGCTGTCGGGATTTCATAACTGATATGTAATAGCACTTTAATAGAGAAATAGCAGCAGAAATAAAAATCACGCTTTTACAGGTGAATCAAATACTGATGAGTTCTGTGAACTCCAAATGCTTTGGTAAAGATAAATTTTGTCAGTTGAAAATTTAAATTACCTAGAAGAACAAACATTATTTCAGTGATTAATGCAACTGCAACCCAATAGCCAATCTCAATGATGGAGATGGTCTTTAAAAGATGTTCGATTACAGTATAATCACACACATCTCACAATCCCAAGTATAAGTAGCAGTGCTGATTTTGTTTTTAACTTGTTCCAAATCATTCCAATGGGTATGATTTTTTTTTAATTGTTCAATGTTTGAAGACAATTGTTGAGATGTTTGTTAGATTTTACACAAAACATTCTGAGAACTATAGTGTAACGAGATGCATTTGTATCTGACTGTGTACGTGCACAAGAATTATACATTTCCCACCTGCTCTGAGAATTCCGTTTGTAGGAAGCAAAGACAAGTGGGGGTAGGGAGAGATTTCCAATAACGTGTGTACAATGCTGAATATCAGAAGTACTTTTTCCCTTTGTTACAGAAAAGTCTAAATGGTCAGAGTCGTATCTCTAATCACTACAGGAACATAAGATTTCCTGAAATTGAGAATAAAGTTTCACTCTATTTGAAGGGAAACAGATTTGCAAGTTATTTTAAAAAGAGATGCATTGTGCACCAAAACAAAATCATATTGGAGACATAATAGTAAATCGGAAAAGATATTTTTGCACCTGCAAAAGTAAATTTCAGGATACAATATAACAATAGCCCAGCAAGGAAAGAAACTGACCACTAAGAAAAATTCATTCACTTCAATCATAATGGAAACAATTTCATCATATGTAGCATGAACACAATTGTTAAGACTCTTTTAAAATTGACTTTGTGCCAATATAAAAGCTAGGGTAACAAATTACTTCCATCCTTCTGACCAAATCCCACCATGGCCTTGACCCTCATTATCTTTGTAATCTCTTACAGACCTCAAGTCCTGCAGGAATGCTGCTTTCCTCTAACTGTGTTCCCTCGTGCATCTCTCAAATCCTTCATTCTAACACTGATAGCTATACCATCAGGTCCCCATGCTTGAAGTCTGGTAATCCCTCTGTAAGCCTCTCCAATATTAAGGTACTCCTTAAAACCTCTCTCTTTTATCAAGTTTTAATATCGCAAAGTAACTCAGTGCCAAATCTTCTTTCATGAAGGGACTCAATCTACTATATCTACGTCTGCTGATCTCACCAAGATAGGTAGGAAGATAAGATTTAAAGAGGAAGTAGAGATGTTGCAAAGGGATATAATCATGTTAAGTGGTTGGGCAAAGATGTGGCAGATTAGAGAAGCATAAACTATTTAAATAGAGATAGTTTGCGGAAGTTATGGTACAGAATGATCTAGGTGCCCTGCTACATCAATCAAAGTTAGAAGTGCAAATCTTCCTTGTATCCATTCTAACTAGTTGTCCCAAAGATTTGTGTTTTACTAAGATTACCTTTCATTCTTCTATACCCCAAAGGATATAGACCTAATTTGTTCAGTCTTTCTTCATAAGACAAGCCCTTCATCCCAAGAATGAGTTGTGTGAACCTTCTATGAACTGATTCTAAGGCAATTGTAGTATTTCTTTTAATTATGAAGACGTTCTATGTTCTATAAAACAAGAACTGTACACAGTACTCCAAATGTGGTCTCACCAGTGCCCTGTGCAGCTGCAGTAGATCTTCTCCTCTCTTATATTCCATGCCTCTTGCAATAAATAACATCACCTTTGTCTTCCAATCACTTGCTATATATCTGCACACTAACTTTGTGATTCAAGTTCCAGGACATCCAGATCCCTCTGCACCAGAGTCCTCCAATCTCTCCCTATTTAAATAATATACTGCTTTTCTATTCTTCCTGCCAAAACAGACAAGTTCACATTTATCCACATTATACTCCATCTGCCAATTCTTTTATCAATTCATTAAAACTATCCAGATCCCTTTGCACAGTCTCTACATCCACTTGATAACTTACTTTCCTTCCTACTTCCTTTGATGTCATCAACAAGTTCAGTTAATATATATTTGGTCCCATCAACTAAATCATTGATACAGATTATAGACAGCTTCCTGTGGCATTTAACTACTTAAAATTTGCCATCCCAAAGAGACCCAGTTATCTGTACTCTGTTAGCCAACCAATCCTCTATCCATTGTAATGTGTTACCCCCTACTCCATGTCTTCTTATTTTATGGAGCACCCTTTGACATTACAGCTTTATTTAATGCCTTTTTGGACATCAAAGTACACCACATCTACTGGCTTCCCTCTATACACTGGAAATTACTACTTCAGAAAATTATAATAGGTTAGTGAAACATAATTACCCTTTCACAAAGACACGTTAGCTCTGATTACACTAAGATTTTCTAGGTATCCCCTATAACCTCTAATAATGGATTCTAGCACCTGCCCTATGACAGGTTAGGCTGACTGGCCTACAGTTTCCTGCTTTCTGCCTTCCTCCTTTCTTGAATACAAGTGTTACATTTGCTATTTTCTAATCCATTAGGATCCTTCCAGAATCTTGAAGAATTTTGGAAGATTATAACCTGTGGAAGATTATTATCTGTACCTCCAATGTTTTTAAGACTCTAGGATACAGGCTTTTAGATGCAATGGCTTGCCTGGCACTTTCTCCCTGTTGATGGTGATTGTTTTAAGTTTATCCCTCCTTTTCATCTGTTTGAATTGAAACTGAGTAAACTCATTACAGGACAGCACTCACCCCTCAGTTTGAGAAGGACTTAACTCAAGGTATCAATGTGGAAATAGGACAAAATTCAACCCAGTTCACAAATAAGTCCAAATAAGGGACTGGATATGCTTGTAGCTTTCATTTGGTGATAGAATGAAAACAGCGAGCTTGATAGCAAAGGAAAAGAAATCTTGAAATGAACTTACTGTACTGCAACCTCCTTTTCATAATTTTGCAGTTCCCGCAGAAGTTGCTTGACATCCTTCTGGTTTTCGGCAGTCATGTTTATAGTCTGCAAAAGTACTCCTTGATCACTGGATTTGGATCCAAGTCTTTCTCCCCTTTGGCTATTACTTTTTGAGCTGCAGAAAGGAAAGTAACCAAAAAGGTCAACAGAACAATTGCAGCAACATTTACTTTTCTCATCAAAGGCATCCACCTAAAATCTATGGATCAAGTGAATTATATTTTTGTCAGATAAAATATAGCAGATTCCAAACAGAATAAATTAATTTCTTCTTTACACTAAATGACATTCAAGTATTCCTTTAAAAGTGACTCAGAATCAGTTCAATATGACAAACACAGGGAGGAAGAAACTGGCCTTTCCCAGTAGCAAAAAAAAAAACTTGCAGTGAATCAGCAGCTCCTTTTACTGCACTGTTGAATTTCTTTTCCACTGAAATTCATGCTAAAGTGAAGACCAATTTCATCCCAAGCCTCTTGTTAATTCAGTGGCCAACAAAGAACACCCAGCTCAACATTCCCTGTATGATTATCTGGCCAAGAAGTGAAAATACTTACTCGATCTTTTTATTCTAAATGAGACCAGCATTTCCCTTCTCACCCTATCAACCACACACCTCCAGCCCCATGTACACAACATAATTTAAGGGTGCCAGTGGTGCAGTGGTAGTAGCCCTGTGTCTGGGCTAGAAGGGCCTAGTTCAACTCCCATCTGCCTCAGAGGGGTGTCAAAACAGGTTCCAACAGATTAATCAAAATAACTACAAAAACAATTTATGCCAAACAACAACAATTATATGCAAATATACAAAGGAACAAGAGTATGCCAGTCAGCTCTTTGAGCCTGCTCCACCATTCAATAAGATCATGCATGATCTGATTTTAACGTCAACTCTACATTCCTGCATATCGATAGATTCTTCATTACTAAGGTGATAAAAATTTATCTACCTCCTCCTTAAAAATATTTAAAGATTCTACATCCACTACTTTTTGAGGAAGGGAATTCCAAAGACGCTCAACCCTCACAGAAAAAAATCTTTCCTTTTCCCTGTTTTAAACGATGACATCTAGTTCTAGATTCTCCCACAGGTGGAAACTTCCTCAGGGCCTTATATGTTTCCATTAAGTCACCTTTGACTCTTCCAAACTACAGAAATAAAGGCCTAACCTGTCTAGCTTTTCCTCATAAGGCAATCTGCTCATTCGAGGGCTTATAGTGATTACATTTTCACTTGTTTTAAAACTCTTCCACTTTAAAGACAACTGTTATTTTCTTCCTGTTTAGTCCCAAAGAACCACTTCTCAACAAACTGACCAGTTAAATGACTTGCGCACATGCACCTTCAAATGTCATTTCTTTAACAATTGCTGCAAGCAGCACAAAAATCACATGGGTTAAAAACATTTTGGATCTTTTCAATTTATGATGAATGATATGACTTGTTTGGGGAGTTTCTTCTACTTAATAATGGAGATTACTAATATGGGGAGTCACTGTTCAAATAAGTTCACTAAATTGGGTAGAACTCAGGAATAAGAAAGGTGCAATTGCAATGATGGGATTCTACTGTAGGCCCCAACAGCCAGTGGGAGAGATAGAGGAACAGATATGTAAACAGATCATGGAAATATTTAAAAACAAAAGGGTTGTTGGAATAGGTGAGTTCAACCTCCCCAATATTGATCGGGATTCCCTTAGTACCAAGAGCTTAGATGGAACAATTAGGTGCACCCAGGAGGAATTCTTGAAACAATACGTAATTGTCCAACTAGCAAAGGGGTCATATTAGGCCTTTTCTTGAGGAATGAGGCAAGTGATCAGAGTTTCAGTGGGGAAGCATTTTGGGAACAGTGCTCACAGTTCCATAAGTTTTAAGATAGTTATGGATAAGGATAAGACTGGTCATCAGGTGAAAGTTCTAAATTGCGAGAAGGCTAATTACAACAGTATTAGACAGGAACTGGTGAAATTAGATTGACAGCAGCTGTTTGAGAGCAATCCACATCTGCGGGAGTCTTTTAAAGGACAGTTGATCAGAGTTCAGGACCATCATGTTCCTGTAAGGATGAAAGGTAAGGATGGCATTCAGGAACATTGGATAACAAGAGATACTGAATGTTTAGTCAAAAAAAAAACGGAGGCATGTGTAAGGTTTAGAAAACTGAAACTAAACAAGTCTCTTGAGTACAAAGGATGCAGAAAAGAACTTAAACAAGAAATTAGTAGGGCTGGAAGAGGCTCACAAATATGCTTGGCAAGTAAGATCAAAGCAAATACAAAGACATTTTATACACATATTAGGAGCAAGAGGGTAACTAGGGAATGGGTAGGTCCACTCAAGGACAAAAAACAGAATTTATGCCAGAAGCCAGAGGAAGTGGGTGAGGTCCTAACTGAGAAGGACATGGACGATGGCAGGATTATGCAGAGGTATGTTGATATTCTGCAGCTTGTCGATTAAGGAGGAGGAAATGTTGGGTGTCTTGAAAACATTAAGGTAGACAAGTTCCAAAGACTGATCACATCTATCCCAGGATACTTAGGGAGACAAGGGAAGAGATAGCTGGGGCTTTGACTGATCTTTGTATCATCTTTAGCTACAGACGAGGTCCCAGAATACTGGAGAATAGCCGGTGTTGTTCCTTTACGGACAAGAATGATCCAGGAATTTATAGGCTGATCAGCCTTGTAAGCAAGAAAATTACTGGAGAAGATTCTTAGGTCCATTTCGAAAAGAATGGACTTATCATAAATAGTCAGCATGGCTTTGTGCAGAGGAGTTCATCTCACAAATCTGATTGAGCTTGCTGAGGAAGTGACAAAGATAATTGATGTGGATAGGCCACTAGATGTTGTCTACATGGACTTACTAAAGCATTTGACAAGGTTCCCCATTCGTAGGCTGGTCCAGAAAAATGTCACATGGAATCCATGGTTAGTTGGTAAGTTGAACACAAAATTGGCTTGATCACAGAAAACAAAAGGCAGTTGTGGAGGGGTGCTTTTTGACTGGAGGTCTGTGACCAGTGGTTTTCCACGGCTCAGTGGTTAGCACTGCTGCCTCACAGCACCAGGGACCCAGGTTCAATTCCACCCTCGGACGACTGTCTGTGTGGAGTTTGCACATTCTCCCCGTGTCTGCGTGGGTTTCCTCCGGGTACTCCGGTTTCCTCCCATAGTCCAAAGATGTGCAGGTTAGGTGGATTGGCCATGCTAAATTGCCCCATAGTGTTCAGGGATGTGTAGATTAAGTGGGTTATAGGGGAATAGATCTGAGTGGAATGCTCCAAGGGTCAGTGTGGACTTGTTGGGGCAAAGGGCTGTTTCCACACTGTAGGGATCCTATGATCTATGATAAGTGCTGGGACCACTGTTGTTTGTAATACGTATAAATGACTTGGATGAAAATTTAGGTGGTCTGAATAGTAAGTTTGCTGACAACATAAAAATTGGTAGGGTTTCGATAGTGAGGAAGGTTGTCAAAAGATACAGTGGATCTAGATTAGAGGGAAAGTTGGATTGAGAAATGGCGGATGGAGTTTAATCCAGACAAGTGTGAGGTAATGCACTTCGAGAGACCAAAGGGCAGGACCCTTAGGAGCATTGATATGCAGAGGGATCTTGGAGTGCAAGTCCATTGCTCTCTGAAAGTGGCAACACAAGTGGATAAGTTGGTAAAGAAGACATACAGCATGCTTGCCTTCATCGGTCAGGGCACTGAGTAGAAAGTTGGTAGATCATGATGCAGTTGAATAAAACTTTAGTTAAGCCACATTTGGAGCATTGTGTGCAGTTCTAGTTGCCAGACCACAGCAAGGAGGTGGAGTCTTTGGAGAGGGTGCACAAGATGTTTACCAGGAAGTTGCTTGGATTGGAGTGCATTAGCTATAAGGAGAGAAAGGACAAATTTGGATTGTTTTTGCTACAGCGTTGGAGGCTGAAGAGTGACCTGATGGAAGTATATAAAATTAAAAGAGGCATGGATTGGGTGGATAGTTGGAGCCTTTTTCCCAGTATGGAAATGTCAAACATTAGGGGACATAAGTTCAAGGTGAGAGAAGGAAAGTTGAAAGGTAATGCGCAAGACAAGTTGTTTACACGGAGGATGGTGGGTGCCTGGAACACATTGCCAGGGGAGGTGGTAGAGCAGACACAATAGCAAGGTTTAAGAGGCATTTAGGCAGACACATGAATAGGCAAGGAATAGAGGGATACAGACCTTGTGCAGGCAAATGTGATTAACTTAGAATGGTATCTTGGTCAGCCGAAGGGCCGGTTCCTGTGCTGTACTGTTCTATATTCTAGATTATTTATGTCAAGCAAACAGGTTCAAATTATAGAAGCACAGCCAAATTCTTAATCCATGTTGGTCATGTTCTGCACCTACCTTTGTGATTTTAACATATTACCAAATAAGTTGAACTCTGATTCATCCTTCATCCTTTCATCAGCAAATTTCCTACATCCTGTTCCTGCTGCACCCCCAACTCCAGTTCTCGTTCCTCCTCTACTTCCAACTCCAAATCTGGTTCCTGGTCCACTTCTGGCTGAAGTTCCAATTCCAGATTTTCCTTTTCCCCTACTCCGAGTCCTCATCGGGACAGTTGGCTTTTGGGCGAAACTGAAATCATCCCCATCATCCCAGGCTTTTCCCGAGGCTTTCCTACTTCCTCCTCCTGTACCACCATGAGACTTGTTGAACTTTCCTCCTCCTCTGTTTGGCCTCCTTCCAAAATTCATTTTTGATGATCACTGTTCAAAAGATGAATCACTTGTAATATATTACAACTAAATAGTTTTCAATTCGAGGCATTTATAATACACTGAGACAAGTTCTACTTAGGGTTCTGGCTAATATTTATCCTTCAAAAACATCACTAAAACAGAGAGATTATCTGGTCATTATCTCATTGCTGTTTGTGGAACCGTCCTATGCACAACTAACCTCTTGCTGTTCCAAAATTACATTAACAACTACACTTCAAAAAGTTCAAATTGCCTTCACTACACTTGTCCAAATTGTTAATGGTGATGAATACTGCTATATAAAACAAAAAACGCAATCAACTTGGGAGCTTTGCAAGGCAAATTATGAATGGATTACTTCGAGATTCCATATTTCATAGTTTTTCAAAAATTTTCCCAAAACCACTTATTATGTTGAAGAAGGTTAAAGGCAAATTACTACTATCAACTACAAGGTATAAATAAAAACCTGCCATGTTTTGCAACTGTTTACAAATTTGACACTCACGAAAAAGATCAGACCTTTTAAGATATTAGATTTTTTTGGAAAGATTGCTACTGCTTAAGCTGCTAAGGGCACTCAAGTTCTGTTACTTCAAAGTAACTTTATTTAAATGATCTGCTACCTTCATAAAGCTCATCAGCATCTTCTCAAGGGCAATTATGCATGGGCGCTAAGTGCTGGCCACACCCACATACCATAAATTAATTTTTAAAAATCAAATTATTCAATAATTCAAATTATGACTAGGGCATAGGACAAAAAGACCATAGATTATCTCATTCACCTTCTACCACCTCAGTAACTATGATAGGAATAAACATATGGAAAAAAAGTGTAGGTGTGCTTTGGAAATTATAGTTTCAAAGTCATTTGTTACTTCCAAACATATTACTTCCGCCATATTTCAATTACACACACACACAGTTTTCCAAAACATCATCTTCTGAAATAAATCGAAATTTCCTTTGAATCAATCAACAGTATTTCAACTATCCCCTAGAAATTAGCCTCTAAATCACTGAAATATTGTTATCTTAGATCAATTTTCAATTTACTCTCCAAGTTGGTCTTCAGGTTCAGTTAGTCTACACAGTGAATTCTCATGAATTACATTATCAAATCCCATCAGAGCAGCAGGAAAAAAAAAGACTTTGAATGATCAGAAAAAGATGCTACCTCCATGATTTTCTGATTTCCAATATTATGAGTTATTTTCTAATACAGGACGCTATGTTATTTTTAAGAATGACAAACACCAAATACATGTCATTTTAAAACAAAAAGGAAAGATTTGAAAGGTGGCGTCCAACATCAATGTAAGCACATCATTGTTCTTATGGAAATCACAGTTTTTCTCATTGTGATATCAGTTCTAGTTCAGTAATAACACTCGTACTTCCAAGTCAAAATTTTTGGTTGTGGAAAATCCCACACCAATCACAAAACTCCAGGTTGATACTGGAGTGCAGCACTTAAAAGAATGACTAGTGTCAGAGACACTGTCTATCAAATGAGGAGCATTAAATCAAGACCCAGACGACGTCTACTCAAAAACATAGCCATCAACATCACTAGCCTGTAAGATTTAGGGATTTTCCAGAATTATGCTTTCCCCTCCCTCCCAGCTCCTAACGGATTGGCAGCACCCTGCCCTTCCTACGGTATCTGTAGAACCCTCCCTCCTCGTCCAGGAGACACTGAAAATAGTAGACTCCCCCATCCTCCCCTACACCCTCCACCTCCCACCCCGGTCTTGCCTCTTCAATGGTGACATTCCTTATTAACTGTCTTCTCCCCACCTTCATAAAACAAAAATATGACTCAGTTAAAGCATCAATGGGCGCTCATTGCTGCCGTTTTGAAAGTCAGCCCATGCTCAGGGTTACGAGTGATAGCCAACGATGGTGATGGAGAAAGAGTTAAAACCTCGAGGAGCAACAGCTACTTATAGGCAAAGGATCTTGCGTGGAAAAAAAGACGTGTTTCCTTTAAACACATACACGAGGAAAGCAAGAGGAACGTATTATTTTCCCTAGTTACGCTGCTCACGGAAATCGAAAATGACACTTCTACTAGAGAGGAAAGCGAAAGAAGGATCTGTTCTGAGGCACATCATCACTACAAGAGACTATCTGATCACTAACACTCCTCGCCGGGCTTTACTGTGCATAAATTGGCAGCCCCGTTCTTACATTACAACAGTAGTTCAAAAAAATACTCATTGGCTGCAAAGTGTTTAGAATATCCCGAGGTCGCGAAAGGCGTTTTAAGGAAAAAAAACTAGCTTGAAGGAAGGTAATTGTTCCAGCTTCCTGTGAACAAAATCGTCTCAAATCCAAGGCCGGTATTTGTAACATTTACAAAAACAAGCAACACTTCCACAACGCTATCACACAGCCCAGGTGATGTCCGTGCTCGTCCAGTTGTTTTCCCCTCTGCAGCTTTGTTTTACACAGAAAGCACGGGGACGCCGGCTGACCCGGAAATTATTTAGTTACATTTCCGGGTTAAGGCGACGCTGGTTACCAGGGAGATGACTCGGCGTCCGTCTTCACCTGGTTAAAGTCTCTTAGCGTTATTGATTAACATAGACACTACTTCCAGTCGGAGCACTTTGTAAAACTAAAACAAAGAGCTTTAGCCGTCTTGACCGATGAAAATGCCGGGTAAGTGTCGCCTGCTGCTAATCTCTTGAATCGTGAACCGAGGGTCGGGGACACTCAGCAACCACAGGTTACCCACTGGCCGTTTCGTGCTACTTTTATCCAATAGATGTTTATTTAGATTTTAAAAGAAATAAGTGACAATGCCGTTGTCAATAGTGGCTTCCAACCCTAACCCTAATCTTACCGTTTGGTACTAACCTCTAATTCCAGCCCTGCTGACTGTAACTTTCGTCACTGAACCCTATTTATAATCCTAATTTAACCCTGGCCACTAACCCCTAACTGTAATCCTAGTCACTAACCACTATGCAACTTCAACGTGAGCCATAACAGTACCTCTAGACCCTAATCCCTAATTTTTACTCTCAACCTTCATTCCTCATTAAAAATTTAACCTGTAGCAACTCACTGAAATTCTAAGGCCCGCCTTCCTCTACCTTCTAGAAACTGTGTTTAATTTCAGTATTAGTTCAGACTTCTCTGCTATATGCAGATATTCCATATTTCATGTTTAGCTTTTACTTATATTTAAAATAAACAAAATGAGAGGTTGGCAAATTTATAGCATTTGTGTGAAGCTGGAACCACACCTTATTTCTCTGTACTATTTGCAACTCCAGTATATGTTCATGTAATATCTTGGCAGGACAGACTAAAATGATGTGGAATAAGTGGAAAGTCAATACTGAAGTTAAACTGGTTCAGTCTGGTATATGCATATAGAAAAGTCTACAAAACAGTGCTATTACACTCCTCTTCTTAATGAACACTAACATGTGAAATGGAAGCAGAGGTAAACTGTTTTGACCCTTCAAACCCACTCTGTCATTCAATAAGTTCATGGTTCATTTATTTGCGTTTTGAATTCCACGTTCCCATCTAGTAAGATTTGATTCCCTTGCATAACAAGGGCAGCACGGTGGCACTGCTGTCTCATAGGACCACATAGGTCTGTGTGTAATTTTTTCCCCTTTAAAAGTCCTCACATTACTGCATCCTGCATGCCCCTTTCACAGGATGAGACTCTCACCCCACCCATTCCAAATGTGGTCACAGTCATTTTCGATTGTGCTCTTCAGTCAGTGGCTTCTAGCTTCCGCCTCTGTGTGTCAAGTGAGGCCCCAAAATCCAGATCCTCTTTCTTATAGTTCTTCCCATGAACCCTGAGGCTAATCCACCTACATAAGCCTTCACCCACCCACCTTTCCTCCTCAGCCCCTCGTATTTAATATGCCTGACATAGTCATACATTGTTCCTGCCTTGCAGCTCCTGACTGGATGAACCATCCTCCTGCATGACCCCTTCCCATCAGCTTTACTATAGTCAGCCAGTGATTGGAGGTGGTGTGTATGAATGAGTCGGGGAGATGGTGGGTAGCTCCAAGCAAGCCCCACTTTTCCCTACAAGAAGTCTCTCAATTGTTTGTACAGAGTCAAACTCAAATATTTATTTACATGATATGCTCTTGTACAGAACCAAGCTGCATTTGTGACAATGTATATATACAAAGCATATTTTTGGAATTAAAAAGAAATCTCTCAATCAGACATTAAGTGCCTTTTGATGAGGGTTCCAACCCAGGAGACTTCAAGCAAACAGCATAAGTTTGCATGTTGTGCAAACCACATGGCAACAGGCCAGACCAGCAGCAGTGGGTAAAGACCCATAATTGGGCATTAATCATCCGTTACGGGGATGGCACAAACCTAATCAGCGTGGAGGCAGGAACGTGGCACAGTCCCCACTCACTACCATCTCTCCTAATTAAATGACCTCCTCATCATCATACTGGTCCATGGAGAGTGCATAAACTCCAGCATTTTGCATAGGTATTGATGACTATATTTCAAGTTGCCATTGACTTCTATATTTCCTGTTTTGTTATAGTAAAACCAAGAAAGAAAGCTCAGTCCAAGGAAAAAGCAAGTAAGGCTTCTTCACAACCTCTTGCTTTTGTTTGATGCCTATTTCAACACCTTTCTATGTTAAAGTGGAGAATCATTTGGTCGTCCCAATTCAGAAAATTTGAATACTTCAGGCAAAGTTAAATGAATTAGACAATGCTATTTAATTGCTGTTAAATGTTTTGAATTAAATAGAACCTACTAGTATTTACAAATGAGGTATACAGGATTAGAATAATATAGTATTTCCTAGTAACCAGGGTTTTCATCCCCTCTGTCTTAAATTCAATAAAATTGAGAGAGATCAATGGCATTACAGGCTGCATGATTCCATTGCAAAAAATGTCAACCACACAGCTGAGATGGGCTAGAAACAGAAACAGAATAATTCACATGAGCCATTCCTAGTTTGCAAAGTTAATGAGAGTTAGAGTTTATAGAGAGATTACACTATGTGCTACACCTAATCTGAGGGTGCTCGATACTGACATTTGTGCAAAAGTAGAAAAATGTTCCATACTCCTCACTGATATCCACAGCTTGCTCAGTGCAATAATATAGATTTAGGCAAAGATGTTTAAGTACTTTGTACATATGATTCAGACTTCTGCGGTTGAACAACCAGGGAAAGCAAAGCCATCTTATTGAGCTATTGGTAAAAGCTTCCCGCCTTTAGCTCACCCTTTGTCAATTGCTCATTCAATTTGAATCAGTGATCCATTTTACTGTCATGTTTTACACACAAAGTGGGCAGAGGACTGCAGTGGCATATTCTGACCTCCTTCCTACGATTCAAAATGAAGCATTGAATCATTTACGAAACCTCCACCTTCATGACATTGCCTGCCTTCACCATGATCTCAACCACATCAGTGTTGAAACTTTTATTTATTATTTCCTTAATTCATCTTTACTTCTGAAACACCTTCATGATCTGCTTCACCAAATTCTTCATCAAAGTGCTCCGTCTTGTTCAAAACCTCACCATTCACACATTGCACTGCACTAAGCAATCACCTTTGTCCTTAATAAACTCGGCTGTTATCCTGCCTCTCAATGACCCCGACTGAAAGTTCTTTGACTTTATTTCTAAATCTCTAAAACTAATTTCACAAGCTTGTCCAACATCGCTCTATTGTACTGTGTTTACTGTGGATTCAAAAGATATAAACCTGTGACTTAATTGCACCATCACAATGTAAGGTTAAAATATTCTTCTTTCTGGCTGTTACTCCAAACAAAAGTCTTGTTAAATTTAGCCAGTAAATAAACATATTTAATGCAAACTACAAAAGTCATAAACATGTTTATAAAGTACAGGTTTATGTTTTACTACACACAATGTACAGAGGAAATATGCTTGCCCTCCTCCAACCCAACCCAAGTCGTTTACAGGGAAAATGCAGATTTTTAACATGCAATAGAGGCAAGGAGAAATATGTTGAATAGGCGATTACCAGTACACAACATAAACATTGATTCACAGAGTGCAGTTTCAATTCTTATTTATACAATGTCAAAATCTGGAACCAAGCAATTCAAATTTTAATATTTCTACACCAGTGCAACAATGAATTTTAAGTAAAGTCACAATTCTCTTTGTCTTTCTTTAAGCAATTATTGAAGTTTTCAATGTGCATGTCATCTTTCCCAATCAAGACAGATATGGTAAGTCAATAAGTTGACTTTTGAAAATTAATTAATGAAATGTGGGTGTCATTTACTGGCATTTACTTCCCATTCCTGGTTTCCCTTGACAGAATGGCAAACTGCTGCAGTTCATTTACCATAAGTACACCCGGAATGCCACTAGGGAGGGAGTTCTGGTTGTATTCCAAATGGTAGTTGACAGCAGTAAAGCAGAATTCTATCTTGCCTTGTAAAAATATTCTTTCCGTGGGTTGAAATTTTTTCTTGATACTTTTCCCCACTTACTAACACCCGCTTAGAGCTGCTGAAATCAGGATGTTTTGTATCACAGGCCCTTATCTACCAGGTTATTTTGCTACAACCAGTGATTACAAAGATTTTTTTGAATTTCTGCATTGAATATGTTCACAATGTTTTTCTAATCCAATTATGGTTTGGAATTATCAGGTTCAGAATACTTAAACAGTATTTTATTTCACGAGAAATATTGACATGTCCTGTTTTTCAAAAGTGATGCAGTTGCATTTGGTGTGTTTGGTGCTAGAAACTAATCACATCAACGGGACATTAAACCCCAACCATGAATTTAAACGGTATAAACTTGTGACTTTATTGCACCATCGTGATTTAAGGTTAAAACATTTTCCTTTCTGGCTGCTACTCGAAACAAAAGTCTTGTTAAATTTATCCTAATTTTTATCAGAGAATTTAATGATTTTTTTTTCAAGCTTTGGTTGTATGATACAGAATGGGAAGTGTGCAGTAGGCAGTTCATTTCATCAGTTAGTTGAGGAAGATAATGTGACTGACAATTGTTAAGTGAATGTGTCATATAATTCTTCGTAAACTGATTACATAGAGTAATACAGTATACACAATGGACAATAGTGTATGTACACACATGAGAATAATTTAAAACTATTTGAAAAAAACAGCATTCTCACAGTCACACATGCTGCCTTCCATTTCTTTCTAAGGATGATTGTTTGTTTTCTAGGCAGACATTTAAGTATGGAAATCACAAGGTTGGTGTCTTGTTAATTACATTTTGTGAAAATTTTGTGGCTCACTGGACACAGACACATTTTTTCAAAATATTTATAAAATAAATTTGTTGTTAACAAGAACAGGGATTTTTTTGTAATGTTTTCAGCGTAGCACAGTTGCCTAATGATGGTCATACCAAAAAGCAGCTGTATTAACAACAATCATAGCTCACAATTGAGTACAAAAAATAGTGGTCGTCCATGTCAAAGGGCTTGGCTCCTTCCAAGCTCTGCTTAGCCGAACGGAGATGCTGAATATAGGGAGGCATCAGTGAAAAGGAAAATAACACAGAATCATTAGCAAATCTGCAAGGTAACAATCCTGCCAGTTCCATATTCCACAATATCAAAAAGGACGGAGGAATCCAGTTCAAACATTTGTGGATTAATGTTGCAGGCCCATGGCAAGGAAGGCTTCCGTGGAGATTGTGGCCTTCTCTATGGAACTTTAAGCCATCTTTGTAGGTCCTGGTGACGGCAATACAAACTACGGATGCCATCATTCGTGTCACCTTAACCAGGCTGATAGACACATTTTCAGTGGTCTTACAAGTTATCACTCACCAATTCTAAGCTGCAGTCCCGCAGAGACATGAATGATATGCCGCCGACCCAGAAGAAGGATCAGTATGAAAAAGGGCACGGAAGCAGGAATTCTACTCGAAGCACTGCCATATTTCACCCACTGCGTTCACCATCTCTCTAGATCAGAACATGCCATGCTGCCTCTCAATTGTCCAAACTTTCCCTGCACGGGCACAGGTGAAATAGTCTTTGGCAGGGCACTCACAGGCTTTAAGAACCCCAGTGGCTGTCAGCTGTAAGCATCCCAAAGTCACAGGGATCAGAGCAGTCTGTCACTTCCTCAGCAGCAGCCATAGGGTTACACCATTTAGAATGCTAGGGAAAGTAAAATAAAACTCTTGTCATTTGCTAATCTTATGCACGTGGGTTTTATGAAAATATTTTGTTAGTATCTCTTAACTAAATTATTTCAATGACTAGCCAATGAATTGAAACCTGTGTCTTTATTCTTTGCCATGTTTTGGTTTAGATTTGGTTTAGTTCAGATATGATGATTAACTCTGAATCATAGTAAACTGTTTACTGAAACACACATAGGATAATCCTTAAGTCACGTGAATGGCAGAAAATGCCTCATTACCAAGAAATTACAAAAATTCCTAAACTATCATTCAATATTTATTTACAGGTATAGTAATAGGCTGAATTTTAAATTTCAGCACCATAAAGATCAGTAGTACATCAGGACACTGGGATTCAGTAGCATTTTGTCAATGACTTTTTAACCCAGCCACTTCATTTGCTTCTGCCCTTTCAGTTTCCTAATTAGAGCTAGGTGAGTGTAAAGACAGCCCTCCTCAGTCTATTTCAGTTCCAATATTTAAAGGGATTCTGCAAAGGTTAGAATTGATATTGTTAACATGTTTTCACAGAGCCACAATCTGCACAGGTGCCAAGGTGGCATCACTTCAAGAGCCCATGGGGAGATTCTATTTCTTATAAATTGGAGAAAGAACATGACATCAGAAAAACAAGCAGGCATGGCAGTGGGGATCAGCAGCAGAAGTGGTGCCTTGTTTCTGGAGGCAGTGCCACAAAGGTTTAATAATCCGATCAGGACAAGAAAGGTTAATATCATGACGCATTAGAGCATAAAACACCTCACTCTCCTATCACAGCTTTCTTCTCCTCATCATTTCTTCCACCAGTAAATCTTAGAGCTGCATCCATCCCTTACTGTACATCCCAAGTTGACAATCCACCAATGTCACTAACCTTTATACTATAACAACACAAAGCTAGATGGAGGGCAAACTGTGATGAGAATGCAGAGATGCTTCAGTGTGATGTGGACAATTTTAGTGAGTAGGCAAATGCATGGCAGGTGATGTACAATGTGGATAAATGTGAGGTTATCCACTTTGGGAGCAAAAACAGGATGGCAGATTGTATTATTGGAGTGGTGATAGATTCAAAAGTGGGTGATGCAATAAGACCTGCGTGTTCTTGTACATCAGTCACTGAAAGTAAGCATGGAGGTGCAATAGGTAAATGAAGGTGAATGGTATGTTGGCTTTCATAGCAAGAGGATTCAAGTACAGGAGCAGGAATGCCTTGCTGCAGTCGTACAGGGCTTTGATGAAACCACACCTGGAGTATTGTGCACGGTTTTGGTCTCTTTACCCAGGGAAGAATGTTCTGGCTATGGAGTAAATGCAACAAAGGTGTACTGGACTGATTCCTGGAATGGCAGGGCCGACATATGAAGAGAGTTTGGATTGGTTAGCTATGTATTTGCTGGTGTGTAGGAGAATGAAGAGTGATCTTACAGAAACCTATAAAATTCTATCAGGACAAGACAGGATGAACTCAGGAAGAATTTTCTGATGTCTGGGAAGTCCCGGACCAAGGGTCACAGTCTAAGGATGTGGGATAGGCCATTTAGGACTGAGATGAGGAGAAATTTCTTTACCCGAAGAGTTGTGAACCTGTGGAATTCTCTGCCACAGAATGATGTTGAAGCTAAAATATTGAAGAACATGAAAAACAAATAAACATTGGAATTTGGCAATCCGTGCAGTTCCATAAAACCTAAGGCATTTCTTACTTATACAGGATTCTATTTAAATACATTGAGGCACCAGGAGGGTCTGACAACTGAATGAACCCCCATTGTACTTCAGCAGAAAGACCTCAGACAGTGGTCTTTCCCCATTGCACCTTTGTGGCAGCTGCCCCAAGCTTTAGTGTGTCCTTCGGCCTGGACCTTGGAATGTGCCAGTCTGTAACACTTGGTCAAGGTCAACTCTTTGCACTGGAAGACCAACAAGTTTCGGGCAGACCAAAGAGTTTATGCCCTTCCAGGCAGAGTCAACGTTTGTCTCAGTGCGTGTCCCAGGATTCGGCAGGTAGAGTACAGAGTCCTGTGTCACGGTGTTGCTCGGGATGCATCTCAACAAAAATTGCTGCATCTCTCTCCAGACCTCCTTTGCAAAGGCACGTTCCAGCAGGTGTGTGACAGTCTCTTTCTCCCGCAGCTGCTTCGAGGGCACTGTGAGGTGGCAGAGTGAGTCTGGGCGTACATGAAGGATCTCACAGATAGCCCCTTTCTCACCACAATATGAAAAGATTGTGGTAGTTTTCAGGATATCTTGCACAAACATGCAAGACAACCTCCTAGTGGTCACTTACCAGCTGAACCCTGAGGCCTAGATCCCTTTTAATTGACTGATGTTGGTTGATTTGAAGGTACCTTGATTGCCATATGTCTGTAGTCTATTTCTTCCTGTACCAGTGGGAATGAATTGTTGTAGTATATACAAAGCCCTCTCATTTTGGCAAAGTGCCAACACAATGCAAACATGGCATTGATCAGCTGTTGGCACAACCTGCTGTGAAGATCCTACCCTCCTTAGGTGCAGCTGCTGAATTATGTCACGGAACTGATTATCTATCCATATACCCTGTTTTGGGAGTAAAGGTACAGTCACCATAGTCGCACTCTCTCTCATTAGGGAGAGATGACTAGTGGTGGTTTAACCTGAAATCTGCTATCCCTACCTGGTCTCACCTGTCTGTGACTCTGGATCACAACAATGTGGTTGACTTTAACTGACCTCTAAGGCAATTAGGGATGGATAATAAATGCCAGCCTAGCCAGCAACACCCATATCCTATGAATGAATTTTTTAAAAAGTATATGTAGCTTCCAATGCACCACATTTCAAGCCTGACTGACAATCAAAAGTTGGTTGTCAGTGTAATTCTTTACATACTCAGGATTATCCAACAAATGTTGTCCAATTGCAGAGTCACCTCTAATGTTGGACACAGTGTTGCAAGCCTGGGCTGATTTGGTATTGTCAGTATCTTACGTATTGTGAACAGGTGAAGTGATGTACTGTTTGATACAATCCACCAGTCTTTAGAACGTATGGCCTACATACCTGGCACCATATCATCACTGAAATTCATACGCTACATTATTTATTGGGGTGAAAGCCAGAACATTTTTTTGGCTAGATGGCGGCATCCTGTTAATAGCAAATACCATTTGTGTTGCTACTGCACAGCAGCAGCATGAAATAGCTAGGTTCACTTGTTTCTCAAACTTTTGACATACCTTGCCCTTCCACAGTAATCTGAGGTAAACTGGATGCTTTTCAGGACCAAGGGTCATCACCCTTGGGTCTTTCATTGGTTTGCACAATATATAGCAAGAAATTATCTCATAAGGGGAGCCATTATCCCATGAGATGGCTTTAATACGTCCTTTTTCAGTATCAAGTTTGCACAGTGAACAACTGACTCATGCATTATTTATGAGATTGCCACCAGGCCAGTCATTAAGCATGTAGAACCCATAGGAAAAGCCAGTGAAGGTAGGTACACCGGTGACAAAGAACCCCTGGCTTAAGTCTCAACTGGGACATCGATGAAAGGGAGCTGAGTTGACTGTTTCATTTCAAAGGTGAATTCAAAGCTTTTATTTTGCAACAGATTATAAACTTAAAAAAAACTTGTCACAATACATGAAATCCACTCCCTCTGCTGAAAGTTCCATGGGGTCAGGTCTATGTTTTGTCTCCTGCATCTAGTAGTTTACGCTGTAAACAGTTACATGTCAGATCGCCTGCAGAGCAGACCTTACTGTCCTCATAGGAAATAACAAGGTATAGAGCTGGATGAACACAGCAGCCCAAGCAGCATCAGAGGAGCAGGAAGGCTGACGTTTCGGGCCTAGACCCTTCTTCAGAAATAGGCTTTTTTTCTTGCTTTCCACGGCTGATAAAAATAGGTGAAGAATGCGGCATCTGTTCTGTGGAGTTAGCGGTCTTTAGCCGTTTTCTTTTCGTTTCGTTTCTGTTTCGTTCTGTGCACGTTATCGTATCCTCAAGATGCTGTTTCCCTAGGTTATTTGCTTTATTATCTGTGTTTTCTTGTTCTTTGCCAAAGGTTTCGTCAGTGGAGCTGTTAGTTTCTGGTTCTATTGTTTCTTCCACTGTTACATCAGGATCCCTATTCTCATTCTGTCGTGGAAGGGTGAGTTTTGGAGGTGGAGGTGCATGATCGGTTACAGGATCCTGGTTTTCATTAGATAGCTCTTTCCATCTTTTCTGTGCAGATGAATCTCCCTTGATATATTTTGCTCCCTCCATTACGGCCATATATGGAAATCTCAACTGATCTGGAGCTTGAATGAGTCCCATCCGATATTTTCGCATTTCTAATAATACTTCTCTGATGGCCACAGTGGAAAGATCTTTGCGTTTCTCTATCAAAACAGGACAGGTATAATGCGAAGGTACCAGAACGCCCAGTGCCTGCACTACAGTGAACGACAGCAGGTCCACAATGAAAGCTCAATGAGCCAGATTCCCTCACTTGTAACAGAAAATTAAGAAATGACGCGGGGGATTCTGGTGCTCCAAAATCAGGCCAAGTAGTATAATGGAAGTGTAGGATCTTTCTGATCTCTCCAGTTGAAGTTCTTTGTAATTGCAGTCTCGGACAGTGTAGTATGATTTCACATCGTCAGACAACAATTTTAAGCTGAGCTGTCTTCAAATGACATTACTTCATCTTCCTTGCTTGCTAATATTTTTCACATTTTACTGATCCTTTTTCAATGACATGGTTCAACATCACAACTGCTGTGCTTTTCTGTTGCCATACCATTTGCCAGAAGTAACCAGAAGAGTGGTAAATGGACCCTAGGTTAAAATGTAGTTTCTCTGGGCTTCTGCCATAACAGTTAGGCTTGTTTGTGTTGATACAATCATTGTCTGTCTGCTTTCTGAAGCTTCACATGGCTGTGATCAAACGGGCTGACATCTCTATATCTGTTTCGAACCCGGTTTTCTGGATATTTCGCTGCTTTGTATGGGAAATCTTGAAATTTATTTCGAATTTCCAAATACGACTGAGACCAGCGGCTCTGCGCGTCGAACTCGGCGAATTCCTCCTCCATATTTCAAGCATGTGAAAGTAAACTCCCATTCCCTCCTTCCCCTGTTCCCGCTTCGTCCACTTCCTCAGAGTTCGCCTCTCCCGACTCTCCAGCCGTCGACATTAAAAACATGGTTTTTAAAGGTGAATTCAGACATAGGGTAGAGCCCATTAGGACATGTAAGGAAATTCTTACATGCAGTTGCAGATTCAAGTATAGTAAAGGTATCATCTACATATTGGAAATAAGCAACAGTTAGGAGGTTAATTGTCATTCCATCAATGACATGTTTCTCCTGGAATCCAACAAAGAAATTTTTGAGAGTGGGGCCTAACAGAGATCCCATGGCAGTACCATCTATTTGGGCATACACAGTGTCTTTAAAACTAAACAGGCGTTGCTGAGTTCGGTTTAATAAATATTGATTCACACATTATAACAGGTCTAGAACACTATGATAGTAAATGATATCCAGTATGTCAGTTTCACAAAACCACCAATCGCTGCTGTGCCCTCCCGTGTTGACTTTGGCAAATTTCACAATGTTCGGTGTATCCTGTGAAGCTTTAACTATTAAAGCAAGAATGCTGGGGTATAGTTTGAAATAATTGCTCCTTAATATATTTTTATATCTGGGGTTTTCCATATACATGCTGGTTAGAGGGTGGAAGTGAAGTGGATTTTATCAAGTTTCAGACATGTTAGCCTTCTTCTTTATTTAACTCCTTACCACAAGCGCCAGAAACCAATATCCTTTCCCCCATCTTTTACTTGCTAAAACTCTGCTCCCATTCTCTGTGATCTAGTTAATCATCACCTTAACCAGCTGAGCGACCAGGCAAGTTAGATTCTATGTTTCAGCATCTCAGGAGTTCGTTCATAGTGCAAGTGCTGGAGATTTACTGTTAAGGTTTGGTACATCACTTGAACTACTTATTATCTTCAACCTTGGAGAACTTTGGCCAAGTCAACTATGTTCTACATGAATTTTATAGATGGGGAATGCACAAGAACTGAAGGTGGTGCACTAGAGAGAAACGGATTTGGAACTCATACAACACACAATGGTATAGTATACACAGGGCAATGGAAAAATGACAAGGTAATTGATATATTTAAACAATCCATTGTTAATGTGTGAACAAATAATAGCAAGCATGAATGGAAGACATATGACAGCCAGCTGTTAAGTACTGTCAGAATATTTTCTAATGTTTGCTTAAATATTTCAAAAAGGGATTTTTCTTAAACAGATTTCCTTGAAGTGGAAGAGAAATAGGAATCTTAGATGAGTACTTTTTTTCTTCCAATGACTCTAACTGTCTATTCAAATGGTTGGTTAAAAATATAACAACTGTCTGTAAAATCTTAATTTTTCACTTCATCAGAGACCCTCAAGCCAGCACATTAGAGTGGCATGATGATTTACTGTCTGTTAGACAGCAGCACAGGTGTTAAGTATGCAGGTTTAGAAAGATATTACCCCAACAATTTGCTCAAAATTACATGCACTAGCAATTCGTTCTACAAAATATTTGTTGTTCTATGTTGTTTCACATCCTGTTTGAAACCATGACCTTTTTTTTCTCTTATCAATCAAAGAACAAATCAAGTCTGTTGACACTAACAAATAAAGGAAACTGCAAAGGAGGTCTGTTCCTGAAAAACTTTCTATGAATCGTGACAGCCACTTAAACTTTGTGTTTAGGTATTATAAGAATAAACTTAAAATAAGTGCTTACACCTGCAACCGCGTTGGTAATTAGTTTATAATAGACCTCAAAAAAAATAGTGTCTTTTGCCAAATGGAATTATGTTGCGTAAATAAAAACAGAAAGTGCTGGAGAAACTCAGTAGGTCTGGCAGCTTCTTTGGAGAGCGAAACAAAGTAATATTTTGGGTCCGATATGAGTCGTCTTCAGTTCTGAAGATGAGTCTTATTGGACTCAAAACATTGACTCTGTTTTTCTCTCCACAGATCCTGCCAGAGCTGCTGAGTTTCTCCAGCACTTTCTATCTTTATTTCAGCTTTGAAATATTGTGAAAATGATGAAAAGTACTTCTTCAGTTCTTCTGCCATTTCTTTGTTCCCATTACAACTTCTCCAGCCTCCTTTTCCAATGGTCCAATGTCCACTCTTACCTCTCTCTTACCTTTTATATATCTAAAAAAATTTTTTTTATATTACTAGCTAGCTAACTCTCACATTTCATCTTCTTCACTCCCCCACCCACCCATTGCATTTATAGTTGTCCTCAACTGGTTTTTAAAGGCTTCCTAATCTTCTGGCTTCCCACTAATCTTGACTACATTGTATGCGTTTTCTTTTGCTTTTAGGCTATCCCTGTCTTGCCTCAGCAGCCATGGTTGTTTTGTTCCTCCCTTCATGTTTGTTCTTTCTTGGGGTGAATTTCTGCTGTGCCTCCCAAACTACCCCCAGGAACTCCTGCCATTGCTGCTCTACTGTCTTCTGTGCTAGGCTTCCCTTCCAATCAACTCTGGCCAGCAACGTCATGTCTTTGTATTACAATTGAATAAAAGTAATACTATTACATCTGATTCTAGCTTCTACCTCTCAAACTGCAGGGTGAATTCTATTATATTATGGTCACTGTCCTTTGGGAAGCTTAAAGTGAAGGAACCCCTAATCAAGTCTGCCTCATGCCACATCACCAAATCCAAAATTGTCTGTTTCCCAGTGGGCTCTACCACAAGCTGCTCCTTTAAACTATCCCATAGACCTTCACAAATTCCTTTTCTTGAAATTCACTACCAGCCTGATTTTCCCAGTTCACCTGCCTATTGATTATTGTAATGATTATTGTAATCGTGCTTTCCTTACATGCTTTATATCTCCTTATTTGTTTTCTTCCCCACATCCTGACTACTGCTCAGAGGTCTGTACATTACTTCCATCAGGGTCATTTTTCTTTACAGTTCCTCAACTCTACTCACACAAATTCTACACCTTCCAACTCCATATCACTTCCTGCTATCAATTTAATTTCAATTCTTACTAACACAGCAAACCTGCCTCCTCTATCCATCTGCTTCTCCTTTCAATAGGACACGTATTCTTGGATATTTAGTTCCCAGCCCTGATCCCCTTGCATCCATGTTTCTGACACCCACAACATTGTACCTGCCAATTTCAATCTGCACTACGAGCTCATTTACCTTGTTTTGTTTACTGTATGTGCTCACCCCTCATCCTTTAACTTTTTTCATAATTTTCTATGCAACTGAACCCACCCCACCACTATTTAGTTTAAAGCCCTTTCCACAGCCCTAGTTGTGCGATTCACCAGAAGTCCAGTCCTGGCATGATTCAGGTGGAGCTTGTCCTATTGAAATCTGAGGTAGAAAATCTAAGGAGTGTGACTGCCTCCTGAAACACAGCATCTAGGTAACTCCTCCCCTCCCTGATGTGTTGCAATGTTCGAAGCTCAGACTCCAGCTCAACAACTCTGGAGTTCTTGAAGCAACAACATTTGTTACAGACCTGTTTGATTTTTGAGAAGTTCTTTTGGGAACTTTGAGCTGACCAATCCCTTATCCCCTTCACTGTCGACCAATCCTTATCCCCTTCACTGTCAGGACAGTTGACCTGAAGCTGGGAATATGTTTCGGAGGGGCTGGGTTGTACGCAGAAACTTGGGAGGAGCATATCATCAAGATGAGAAAGAAACTGGGCTTTTGAGAGCACCACTCCCTCTCCCTTGTGGATAAAAACCTGGTGTTCACATGAGGTAATTTCTGTTGGTGTACCTGGCGCAGGTCTGGCCTATTCCCTGAACCTGTGCTGTTGCAGTCACCGAAGCCATCTTACACTTCACCTGGAGGTCTAAGATGGACCGTGTCTGCAGGGACATCATTCACAAAGCTCTGGATAAGGTGGGGGCAAATAAATGTACTCAACCCCACCGTTATCCTGATGGTCACCTTTGTGTGCGGCTGCATTAAACTGTGCGTAGACCCTCAGTACACAAACACCAGGTGTCACTATATACTGAGGTTCTACCTGTCCCTGGTATTGCGAAAGATGGGACTGGCCTTGGTGCTGCAGAGCACTCCCAGTAGTTGGATAGTTCCGTATCACCTGTCCTTCATGGAGAAATTTGCAAAGAAAAACACCTTTGACCACAAGTCCATCAAGAAGTCGTCAGCACGTAGTGTCCCTGAGACTCTGTGGGAAAAGGAGAAGGTAGTTCCTATCAGGTTGTTCCCTGAGCAGACTATCAAAGTCATTTGGCAAAATACCTCATCATCAGAACTTTCCAACAAGCACCAAGACATCACTTGGCTGGTGGTGAGAAAGGCATTACCTGTGTGATCCTTCATGTATGCCCGGATTTTCTATGCCATCGCCGCTGCCCTTGAAGCAGCTGTGGGGGGAGGATGTCACACATCTGCTGGAATGTCAAGGAAGTCTGGAGAGAGATGCAGTAGTTTTTGTCGAGGTTCATCCTAAGCAGCTCCTTGACGCAGGGCTCTGTGCTCTACGGTCTGTTCCCTGGGCTGCATACTGAGACAAACATCAACTGTGTTTGGAGGACCAATAACTCGGTGAAAGACGCTCTTTGGTCTGCCCAAAATTTGTTGGACTGGACCTCAACTGTGTATTGCAGACTGGCATATTCCAGGGCCCAGGATTACATGCCAAAGTTTGGGGCAGCTGCCACCAAGGCACAGTGGAGAAAAACTGATCTTTCGTCCCAGGTATAACAGGGATCCATTCAGTTATTGCACTTCCCACTACCTCAAATGTGTGTAAATATTGTATTGTATAAGTAAGAAATGTCTTGGATTTGTTTTGTTCTCCATATGTAAAGACTCTACAGAAACCAAACTGCTTCAATGACTATGTTTGTATGTAAAGATTTTTATGAATAAATTATATCTTTGAAATAATAAAACAGATCTTTAAAACAAATTCCTAAAGGTCCTCTAGTTTGTAACCTGTAAATATGTGCTCTCTTTACCTTCAATCTGAAAGTAATGTATAATAGATATTCAAATTAGCTATCACCATCAATGAACATATTGTTTACTTGTGATGTAACTTTACAACATATGGGCCAAAAAAAGCAAGTAAAAAGCACCTCTTCCTCTCTGCACCAAATTCCTATGCTGCCTGTGTGATTCATCCCCAGTCCATTCCCCAGCTGGCAAAAGTAGAATCTGTCAGAAATCAGGGCATGTGGGTCCCACCCACAAGTTGTAAACGTCTGTAATGATAGTGAAGATCTGTAATATGGCTCTAAGTGTCAAAAGTGGATCGACAGACATATCTAGGAGTATAAGTACATGATTAATTATAAATAGTGATACAGGTGATAAGGACTTCAAAAAGGAAACAATGCAATGGGATTTATTGTTAAATGGATAAATTGAGGGGCATGTTAGAATGAGCAACATATCTTCACCTTTCTCGTGACACTCATATTCTGTGAAAGAATTTTTAAAAAAGTTTATCTTCGAATCTTGATTAGACCTCTGTTAGGTACTGTAAACAGTTTCAGTCTCTGTATTATAGAAAGGATATGGAAATTTTTTTAAAAAGTAGTATTATGTTGGAACCGAAAGCTTATACCTATTTATCCTATCAGGAAATATTAAACAGTGTGGGGCACCTTCCTAGAGTTATACAGCATGGAAACAAACCCTTCGGTCCAATTCATCCAAGCCGACCAAGTTTCCAAAATTAAGCTAATCCCACTTGCCTGCATTTGGCCCATATCCCTCTAAACCTTTTCTATTCATATACTTGTCCAAATGGTTATTAAAAGCTGTAACTGTACCTGCATCTACCACTTCCTCTAGAAGTTCATTCTACATATGCACTACCCTCTGTGTGAAAAAATTGCCCCTCAGGTCCCTTTTAAATCTTTCTCCTCTTGCCTTAAAAATGAAGAGCAAGGAGTGACCTGATTGTGAGAGATTTAATTGAGTAGATTTAAGTAAGATATTTCTTCTTGCAAGGGAAACCAGAACTACAGTCTATAGGTGTGAGGCTGGAAAAGCACAGCAGGTCAGACAATATCCAAGGAGCAGGGACGTCATCGCTTCCAGCTGAAACCCTTTTTGGCCCGAAACACTGACTTACCTGCTCCTCGGATGCTGTCTGACCAGCTGTGCTTTTCCAGCCTCACACCTATAGACTCTGGCTTCCAGCATCTGCAGTCCTTATTGTCTCAATGGTCCATAGATATAAGACAAAGGCAAATCAATCAATCTAACAAGGAATTCAAGAGATATTTCTTTATTGAGGGAATGGTTAGAATGTGGAACTCGCTACCCCAAGAAGTTGTTGAAGTGAATAGAATTTAAGAGGAAGCTAGATATAAGCACACACGGGAGAGAGAAATGAAATAATATATTGAGTGGACTTGATGAAAGAGGTTGGGAGGAGGCTTGTCAGAAATTTAAACACCACCCTGGTTCAGTTAGCTAAATGGCCTAGGGTTGTGTGCAGTTGCATTTTGTTGTGAACACTATCACTACCAGGTAGAGAAATGAGAGCTCAAGCCAAGGAATTCAGTTGCAACCAGCAATGTCATGTGGCCCATCTGCACATGTCCGCCGCCATGTTATCGTACACTTTACAGGGCTTAGTTGAGGGGGAGCAACCCCGGCCAACTTCATGGCCTTCTGGCTCCAGGGTAGCATGGCAGCTGGAGATGGCCGGGCAGTGAGGCAGCGGCAGCAGAGCAATTACGGCAAAGATGGGGTGGCCAAGGAGATCTATTCTGCAGGTATCACTGTGGAGGGGAAGCTCCACTTCTTCAGCCCCATCTCCCCCATGCACAGATTCCCAGCCTCATAGTGTTAGCGGTGCATGTACATGCAGACTTTTCCTGTATCTTGTCACTGTCAGCAGATATCATAGGCTGTGCCTACACATGCGAGTGGACCATTTGTTTCTGTGCTATAATGCTTTATAATACAAGTTTTTTTTTGCATTTGTGAAAACATTTCCTTCTTTTAATTATTTGTTTGTTTTGTCCATTTTCCTCTGTAATCGCCCCATTTTGTATTTTATCCAACTAGGTGGTCATTAGTGGCAGTACTAACCCCTGCCAATGCTACAAAAGAGATGGATAAATCAATGTGGACAAATGGTCTCAGTTATACACAAACTTCTAAGTGGAAACTTTCAGAAACCAACACCTAACTTTGAAATGTTCTGGCACAAGTTTGTTTGCAGCAATGGAAAATATTGAAGTCTCATAAATTTAAGGGCGAGTCTGGAATTGGTTCAATTAAGCACTGCAGATGCTGCAACGCTGAAATACAACCTAGAAATACTCAGCACATCTGGCAGCATTTGACCTGTTTACATCACAGTCTTAGAGATAGTAGGAACTGCAGATGCTGGAGAATCTGAGCTAACAAGGTGTAGAGCTGGATGAACACAGCAGGCCAAGCAGCATCAGAGGAGCAGGAAGGCCGG